TTCAGGAATTTCTGCACCACCAAATTCAGCACATGCGCCAGGCAAGGGATGTGTGTCAAACCGGCTAGGTCCAGAGCTGCTACGAGATTTCGCCCATTATTACACACCACCAGGCCGGGCTTGAGGCTCAGTGACAACAACCACTCATCGGTCTGTTGTTCCATGCCCGTCCACAGCTCCTGCGCGGTGTGGGTTTTTCCCCCCAAACATATGAGTTTTAAAACAGCCTGCTGTCGTTTCCCCCTGGCTGTGCTGAAGTTGGTGGTGAAGGTGTTAAGCTGACAGGATGAGGAGGGGGTAGAGGAAGCGGAGTAGGAAGAGGAGGCAAAGAGAAATGCCCTGCAATCCTCAGTGGTGGAAGGACATGCGCCAAACTGCTATCCACCTCAGGCCCAGCCGCCACTACATTTGCCCAGTCTGCAGTTAGGGAGATATAGCATCACATTACTGGTCCACGTATCAGTGGTTATGTGGACCTTGCCACAGATGGCATTGCGCAGTGCACACTTGATTTTGTCCGCCAATTGGTTGTGCTGGGAAGGGATGGCTCGCCTGGAAAAGTAGTGGCGGCTGGGAACCACATACTGTGGGACAGCCATCGCCATCAGGTTTTTAAAACTGTTCGTCTCTACCAGACGGAATGACAGCATTTCAAAGGCCAGGAATTTTGAAATGCTGGCATTCAGGGCCAGGGATCGCAGGTGGGTAGGGGAGTACTTCCTCTTTCTCTCCAGTGTTTGGGAGATGGACAGCTGAACGCTTCCATGGGACAGTATGGAGATGCTTTGGGACGGTGGCGGATGTGGTGGCGTTGCTGCCACATCCTCTGTTTGCGGGATGGCAGGTGCCACTGTCACTCCAGAGGTGGGGGAAGAGGCCAAGACAGCAACAGAAGAGGAAGCAGGAGGCGCCTGAGACCTTTCTTGGTTTTTGAGGTGCTTACTCCACTGCAGCTCGTGTTTTGCATGTAGATGCCTGGTCATGCAGGCTGTGTTCAGGTTTAGAACATTTATGCCTCGTTTCAGGCTCTGATTGCACTCGTGTCTTGTCGTCAGCACATTGTCTGATGAACTGCCATGCCAGGGAACTCCTTGGAGCTGGCTTTGGTGTGCTCGGTCCCTGGGTGCGGTGGGCAGTAGCAGGCGTACTGTCTTTAGCACCCTGATCCCTCTTATGCTGGGCTGGTGCCTCTATGCGACCACTGCCTCTTCCTCCAAACTGCACACGTCACTCGCATGACCTTGATTCCATGTGGGGTCTAGGACCTCATCATCCTCCACATCATCTTCCACCCACTCCTCAACACTGCCCTCCTTGCCGGTCTGCACACTGCAGAAAGCCACAGCAGTTGGCACCTGTGTTTCATCATCATCAGAGACGTGCTGCGGTGGTCCTCGCTTGTCCACATCATGAAACATAAGTGGTTGTGCATCAGTGCACTCAATCTCTTCCACTTCTGGGGTAGGGCTAGGTGGATGGCCCACGGAAACCCCGCCAGCAGAGTCATCAAAAAGCAAAAGAGACTGCTGCGTGACTTGTGGCTCAGACTGCTTGGCTGATTTGCAAGGGGGTGAGGTGAAAGACAGATGGCCATGGGCTGCAGGTGCCAACTCTGAGCTTTCAGCAGGGGACCGGGTGGGAGACAATGTGAAGGAACTGGAGGCACTGTCAGCCACCCAATCTATCGCCTGCACTTGTTCTGGCCTCACCATTCGTAGAGCGGCATTCTGACCTACCAAATAACGCTGAACTTTCTGTCGCCTACTAGCACCTGAGGAAGGTGTTTCACTTGTGCGTGTAGCTGGCTCAGATCGACCACGTCCTCTCCCTGCAACAGGAGCTCCACCAACACCAGCAGCACCACGACCAGAGCCACGTCCCTTATTTGACGCTCTCCTCATTCTTTGCGTTCACCCACCAAACTAACAGATGGTTTATGTCAGGCGACAATGTAACCGCCAATAGTCAACAATTAAGTTCACTGACAGTAAGGCAGTGCCACTGTCCTAAAGAGAAAAAATTTCTAGAGGTCACACAACAGTGTGACAGGCGTAATCAATACAGTTACTTCACTGTCTCAAAAAATTTGAATTTGTCAAACAACAATGTAAGAGTAGTATTTAAGGGTTTTATTGGACTGCAAGAAATGCACCGCAGGCCACAAATGTACTATTTAGCACCCAAAAAAATGTGAATTTTTCAAAGTGCGATGTAACCACAGTATTTGACGGCTCTATTTGACTCTCAGATATGAAGTGCACGCCCCAAATTTACTTTTTAGCACCAAAAAAATGTGAATTTGTCAAACTGCAATGTCACAGCAATATTTAAAAATGCCTAGATGTTGCCCGCTGAGCCACCAGAACAGGATTAAAGTAATGTGCCTGGCACACATGCAGTTGCAAGTGCCCACCTAACAGACGGATTGCTTATTTCTCTGTGGGCTCAGGGCAGGGTACAAAAATGTAGTATAGCACCCACAAAAATAATCGCTGTAGTTTGCAGATTTAACACCAGAATTCTTTCCTAATCTGTCCTTCACAGCTGCAGCATCCTCTCCCTACACTAATAAGAGCTCATGTGACTCTAGCTTATATAGAGGCTGGGTCACATGCTGCACTGGCCAATCACAGCCATGCCATTAGTAGTCATGGCTGTGATGGCTTCTAAGGGCACACAAGTCAAACACTTGTTGATTGGGTGCCCTGCAGCTTTTCAAAACGCGCCATTAAATCGCCAAACTCGAACCCGAACTGTTACTGAAATGTTCGGGGTCCAAAAATCGTAATGTTCAGTACGAACCTGAACTTTACAGTTCGGGTTCCCTCAACTCTACTCCTGAACAAAATGATATATAATAAGTGTGGGTGCACTTAATATGAAAGAGATGAATTACGTTTGAACAGACATATAGCGCAAATTCCAGTTTTTGTTTACATTTTGTTTTGATCAGAATGAGGCAAAAATGTGATTCTTTGTTAAACTAATTTGCATATGCCCACCCAGAATCCTATGCGGTAGTAAAAAGCTAGTCTTATGGCTTGACTGGTGTGCAGATTTTTGTTTAGCATTGTATTAACTATATATATATTACACTCTTATTACCAATGTGTATTTACATATATATTTTTGTCATTACCAGGGTTTGAGGGGTTGCCGAATTGTTAAGCTGTGCAATGCCATCCTAATAGCATTAAAGCCATACTTTTGCAGGGTGGCAAAGCATGCCCTAAAGTCATTAAGAGTTTAAAATGCTTGATACTGCCATAAGAAATAAAATACGCTATAATAAGGAATTGCCGGATGAGTGCATCACTGTAATAAGCAATATTCATATGTGGCAAATCACTTCAAGAATGCTACAAGCACCATAACCTTTGCATCCTAATGTAGTGGTTATGGTACCAGGAGTGCCCTGCCACTGTCTCATTGCAATCTGGCAAACCATTTTAAAATTGTTTTTTACAATTTACCTGTGCCACATCCAGTCTTCTCCTGCAGGAGAAATCGGATATTGCTATAGAGCAAAATAAACACGCTGACACACCATGCTCATTGGTTGAGAGAGCTCAGTTGATGCTCTCAGCCAATAAGTGCAGTTTTGCATGACCCTGCTTAGCTCTGGAAGGTGGGCGAGTGCTTGGCAGGACTCTGGTAAGTTGTCAAACTGCTCTAAAATGGTTGGACATATAACACTGGGTCAGTGCCGGGGAACTCCTGGCCCATAATCACATGCAGTCTTGACAGAAAAAAAATTCCGTGAGTAATTTTTTATCCCGTATTTCAAGTCTTGCGGGGAGTACTATGTCTAGTTTTACAGCGAGTATTATATTTTCTCTCGCTTCTGTTTTTTTTAGATATTTTTTTAGATGTTTTTTTACCAATGCTACAGATTGGTATTATATTCCCTAAGTGTATATGTGTGTGTGTGTGTATATGTATGTGTGTATGTGTATATATATATATATATATATATATACCAGGGTTTGTGTTCCGGATTCTCTTAGTGTTTGCATGTACTATCATTAGTGTTTCTTTTCACTATTGTAAAATCTATGTGATTTAGCAATCTCTGTGAACACGTTTAGGCTGATGTGTTTTCATACTCATTAACCTCTCACAAATTGCTACATTCTGATTTACAAACTGTTGCATGTGCACATTTTCAGATACACTGTTTTTAATGGACTCTTTATTACATACAGTTGGTATGTATTTTTTCTGTTTCCCATTGTCTATTCACAACTGCATCTTGTGTTTCAATATTTATTGCAAAGTGCCACTATTTACTTGGTCTTGGGTTTATGTCAGGTTTATTATCTGAGGTGTCTTTTATATTGTTTCAATAGATGGTTTTGTTTGGTTTCAGAGCAGTATTTCATAGATAACCCACATTCCCTAACTTTAGTTAGTTATAAATGTTTACCTCTATTCCATTTTTCTTATTTTACAGAAATTAAAATATTACTTGTAAGATAGAATTGTTGTGTATTTTGTAGTGAATATATGTAAGTTGATGAGCTTTTACACTTACCTTGGTCCCACAAGGAACCTCTATTCCGTAGTCTCTTCCAAGACCACTGCAGTAGAAGTTCCCATATCCGCATTATTAATATTATAATGCCTTTTGCATGGAATTTCTTTGCTGAAAGTGGCGTTTGATGTTCCTCAGCTAATGATTCTGCCCATAGTTTGCCCAAATGAATATTTCTAAAATGCAAGAGGTACTTCTACTTTCGTGATATCAGTGAAGAGCGTCGACTCAGACACCTGGGGGCTCAAGTATGTGTCAAAGTGTTTGAAAATGGTTGACAAATGACTGTGGGATAGTTCCAAAACTGCTACCGTAGTGAAGATTCTGAAAGTGCCCCCTTAATAAGCTTTAAGGATGACATGGTATGTAAGGTTACAGTTGATGACATTTGAGTTATTATAATATACTGATATATGCCAGTCAAAGAGCAGTGCAAACAACGTATCCTATTAAAAAAGAAAAGCTGTAGACCACAAATACATTTTATTTGTATAAGAAAACCAGCAAATATCTCTTTACTGTGGCATTAAACAGATTGTTTACAAAGAGGACACTTACAAATACATAATAGGTGCTAAAAACAAAAGTTCTGTAGACATACAAGGATGGCACAAAAAAGTGGGTTCAACACTGACCATATAGCTCCTTAAAGGGATCCTTTAGTGCCAGGAAAACAAACCCATTTTCCTGGCTCTATAGGCACCTGGAGTGCACCCCTCCCTCGCCCCCCCAATGTGCTGAAGGGGTTGAAACCCCTTCAGCCACTTACCTGAATCCAGCGCTGATGTCACTCAGCGCTGGGTCAAGCTCCGCCCACAGTTCTCCCCTGCCAACGTCAGCCAGTGGGGGAGACCACATGCGCGGCAATGGCCGCACGCGCATTAGACCTCCCCATAGGAAAGCATTATTCAGTGCTTTCCTATGGGGAAAACCTGACGATGGAGGTCCTCATGCAGAGCGTCAGGATGTCCAGAGTCAGATAACGGACCAAAAGTCCATTTGGATTCCGGAAGCCCTCTAGTGGCTGTCTGTTAGACAGCCACAGAGGGCAGACCTTGAGCTGCAATGTAAACATTGCAGCACTAAGTGCAAAAGGATCACAGCACACAGAGTACTTCCGTTAACCGAAGTGGCCTGGGTACCTACAGTGTACCTTTAATGAGCATTTGTCAACGCAATTTCATTTATATTGATAGAGAGTTCAGTAGGTTTAATAAGAAAGCCCAACTCAGCTGTCATTAAAATTTCAGAGTGTTATAGGCAATACCTTTTACCCCCTTTTCACCTGATTGCAGCTCAAATTATTAAAATAATATAAATTATAAGCTATTTAGAGTATCAAAACTGCTCTAGATTTGTGCTTTAGAAATGTATTCATGGGTCTGTTTCATTTAACAAAAAAAATTACATTGTGCTAACAAAATAATTAGTAAAAAAACAAGCATCCCTTTAGGGCCCTTTTGCCTAGTTCTATATATTCCCTCCCCCACCCCTGCTTGTGCCATAACATAAAGGTTTTTACAAATTGAATCAGTGTTTTCCTATGGGGCTTACACATCACATGAACTAGTTTTACTAGATCAGTGCTGCAGCAGTGCCTTTAGTTGTCTAGTGGCTGTCAGGCTGACAATGTAAACATTGCTGTTTAAAAAAAAAAAAAGCAGGACCACTGCACCCAGAACACTTCATTGAGATGAAGTGGCCTGGATGACTTTAGAGGTCCTTTAATAGGAAACACGTAACTCTAAGTTATATATTTAGCTCCAATCTTAGCTATCTGGAATTGATCCCTATGCTTTGTAGCATATGTGCACATCTGCTGTAGTTTATAGAATTATTTATACAACATATACATTTAAATCTACATTATAAACTACATTTTAAATCTACAAGTGCTAACAATAAAGTTAACCTATTGTTTACAAAATGTGTGGACAACAAGGTCCAATTAAGTAAATCCCCAGGTGGCAGAGCTGCAACTCCCATTATGCTTTGCTACTCTACCACCACTTGGTTCTACACTTTTCATAAAAAAAACCCTCTAAATTGAATTATATACAATGTTTGTCCAAATTTCAAATACCGTAAACATTTTATCAAGATTGGTACACTAAGGTGAATTTTACCATTATTGCACCAAACCAGAAGGATAAGCAGTAACCACTTTAACTAGCAGGAATGAGAACAAGGCTGCCCAGTGGCAAAATAAACTTCATGTTGAATAATAAGTAAATAATAAAATATGAAAGGAAGCATTAATTTAGCCTACCTTAGGTGTCAACATGAACACATAAAATATGACGTGAGCACCTCTTAAGAGTTAAAAACAAAAACAAAAAAAAACCCCAATCAGTAGATGTACAAGCCCTTTGGGGTTTACTTGTAAAATCCCAATTAAAGGAACACAAAAACCCCATCACTACTACAGCTTACCCATTCCCCACTTAAGAAATCAAGCCATTCTGGAATGGTTTGCCTTGATACTTGTGGTTCGCTGGTTGCTGCTCCAAAGCTCCACTACTTCCTATGGAGATCATGAAGTTCATAATCACTGCAAGACTTAGCTTAGTGATGAGAGCATCTGGCACTCCTTATTAGGTAGTGGAGGCACCTTACCTGGAGATCTACCTCCAAGACAACAGGAAGAGGCAAAAGAGGGTGGCCATGATCTTAAATGCTGCCCTGGCCTGCCTGGGAAGGACCCCTGTTTAATGTAGATGTGATTTGCAGAGTGGAGTGCATTGAGCAAGCCTTTACCTTCCCTAAATAGAGAAGCAGACAAACACTGAGAGTGGAGGTGAATCCCAGCAAGATTGTACATGCATCTGTTAATAGCTATGATTTGATATAGTAAATGATATGGAATCAATTTGATAAGCTTTGTAGACGGATGAGCTCTCTAACCAGTCCCTCTGTGTAATTAATATTAGATAATGTTAAATAAATATTGCATTACCAATGGATTTTATGTTTATCTCCAATGCAGCACTTTGCACTAAAATTGCTCAAGTCCTGCCTTGAGAAATATGGTTCCCACTAACTAATGCTAAGACTCTGTCCCAACTTTAATATAAAGTAATTTGTCCAAGGATTAACCGCTGTCTTTGCAATTTAGACAAGATTCAGCCAAATGATGAACCAGACACTGACTTTTCTACGTTAGGCTGGGCATGGAAAGTGCACATTCCCAGTTAATTCACAGTCAAAATCTTCAAAAATATCACTTGCTGGGAGATCTGTAATTTCTGCCTTCCGCATCATCATAACAAATTCAACTGGACATTTCTGCAGTAGAAGCGGGTCAAAAGCAATGCCTCGAAAAAAACGATGGCTTTTGAACTGGTGAAGGTATCGCAGCCGCTGTTTTGGGACTTTGCACAGGAGCTTATACAAATAAAAATGTTTGTATTCAGTACATGGATGGACTTTAATAATAGAATAAAATACGGCTGCACACAGGAATTATATTGGTGACAAGGAGTATCAAACAGTGCATGTACAAATGTCATTATTTATTTTATTTTAATAATAATTTCACACACAGAGTTAAAGGGAAACTATAGTGCCAGGAAAACAAACTTGTTTTCCTGGCCCTATAGCTTCCCTCTTTGCCAAGGCCCCATCCCACAGGGCTGACGGAGTTAATAACCCCTTCAGTCACTTACCTGGGTCCAGCGCCGATGTCCCTTGGCGCTGGCTCAGCTCCGCCCATGCTCCTACCCCGCCGACGTCCACCATACAGAGCGTGAGGACATCCAGCGTCAGATAACAGACCAAAGGTCTCCACTAGAGGAGGAGTTAACCCTCAAAGGTAATTATTGCAGTATAAAAAAACTGCAATAATTACATGCTCAGGGTTAAGGGTGATGAGAGTTTGCACCCATAGGGTGGAGGAGCTGAACATCAGTGCTGTACACTGCACTGACCCAAGAAGTACCTCTAGTGGTCATCTGAGTGACTGCCACTAGAGGTGTTACTGGTCAGCAATGTAAACACTGCCTTTGCTCAGAAAATACAATGTTTACTTTAAAAAGCCTGCAGTGACAGGCTGTAGACACCATTACAACTACATTAAGCTGTAGTGGTTTTGGTGACTATATCATATGTCTAAAATCCTTAGCACACACACATTTGAGGGAAAACAACGTAGCATGTTTAGGAATCCTATTATTCCACAGGAATTTTGATACTTTGATAGTCAGTTTTGATACTTTTCCACCCATTATGTTAAAGAATGGTTGCAACTGAAAATTGGACTGTACTGCTATTACCTCTTTTAAGAGGTGGGATAGCCCTTGGCTCAGGCAAGTTGGAACATCATATGTTGCTTGGTTAACACTCTCCAGCATACCCATGTGGTCTTTCTCAGGAGAAACGGGAAACTGTGGAATAAGAAATGTGCTCAGCACAGTAAAATAGAATGTAATGTGTAAACATGTCTGAATTCAAGGTCATATAAGTAATGCTTACCTCTCCAGTTGACAAAACAAACAGTAGTACACCTAACGACCACCAGTCTGCTGCGTGACTGTAAGGACCTCCAGAAAGAACTTCGGGGGCTTGTATTATATGAAATAAAAGGCAAAATAGCATAAATTGGGAATATACAAATACTTAAATTATTATATCAACTCTTGTTTCATTTACATCACGGGTGTCCAAACGTGGCTTTTTGGCTGTCCCTGGACAATATGTTTAATCATTTGTAGTCCAACAGCCAAAAGACCAAAGTTGGAGACCTCCTTAAGAGAATGTCATGACAGAATCCTTAACAGGCGATGGAGTTTGAACTCTCCCATGAACACATGTAAGTCACACGAGCAATATCCTAATCTTATTTTAAGATACACTAACATCTGCATGTGTTTCCTTCACCTTCCTCAGTCTTCCTTAATCAGCACATGCAAGTCCTTTCCACATTTGTGCTGCATGCTAACACACTGGTATGTAACAGGGCTTGGAAGCTGAGCTATGTCTGCTTTCAACTCCTTTTTATTTTACATTTTGGTAAATTTGTCGAGTTAAAGTCTGCAGGGACATTACTCTCATATGATAGCTACCGGTACTTCAATAAGTTGAAATGGTTATGGTGTCTAGAGTTTCCCTATAATATTTTCCACCATTAGAATGGGTCAATTAAATTGTTACATGGAAATCTTGCACCTCTGGATTAAGAATCAATTAAGGTGCATTAATGGTGCCATTCTCTGCTTAACACACAGTTAACTTTCTTTGTTATGTTACATTCAGAGAAGGATTAAGATCTCACAGGACGCTAGGCAGTTTACCGTTGTGGATCCCACCTTCATTTTTCACATAGGGATAGTAAATAGGGCCAAACAATTTCATGGATCCTGGGCCCTAGACAGCCGCCTAAGGTCACCTTATTGGCTAATGCTGCTTTGCTTAATTTTTTTTTTTTTGTAGTTGTAGTTGAAGCGTCTGTATCATTTGTGCCCAAAAGGTAGATCCCCAGATGTTGTAGAACTACAACTCCCATGATGCTCTGTATGCCTTTAGAAGGCAAAGCCTCACGGAAGCTGTAGTTTTAAAACATCTGGGGATCTTCCTTTTGAGCACTCCTGTTCTACATACAGTTCATGAAAATGTAAACTTAGCGTTATAATGAACATTCCTCTTTCCAGTGCTTAATTCAATTCAATCCATTTTCCAAATCTAGAAATATATAGACATTATAATTCTAACATATTGTGCAATCCCAAAGACAAACAGTCAGTGATATCTTCTTACCCATATATTGAAGGGTTCCACAAATTGTATATGTCCGTTCTCCAAAAGACAGATGCTTGGCAAGACCAAAATCTGATAGCTTCAAGTGCCCTAAAGAAAGGACAAAGTAGATCCTTTTATACATACTCTGCGTTCGTATAAGATCAACATGAAACATCATATACACACATCCAAATATTGTATTTACCTCTCTCATCCAGCAGTATGTTTTCCATCTGCAAAAATGAGAGAGAAAAAAAAGAAAAATCATGTCTGTGTTTCATGAAACATAAAATTAAGTATACTCTGATTTTTCTTTCCCAACTGTCCTTATCAAATTCTCCTTTTGTCTGGTCCTCTGTTTCCCCCTCTATATTAGCACCCACCAGATTTCTCTATTTTATAATTAGAGATTTTCTCACTTTGACATCACGATGTACAATGCCCAAGTCATGAAGATATGCTGTGAAAATATAGAAAAAAAATATATTAGAATTTCTTAACATATCACACCTGCAATGTCCATAATCTGTCCAAACGAAGTCCAATAACTCCTTCCCAAACGCCTGCTATGTTGGCATTTTAAGTGTATAAACGAAGAGCATCGTGGGGCATGTAATGCTTATGATGATTATAATTTACTTTTTATTTTTTTTAGAATTATTTTTCCAGTGCATATATTTAAATCCTTGTGTAGTGCTGTTTACTCTTTTAGCTAAAAGGGTTTGAGCTGGTTTGTCAAGTCACATCCCTAGATGGTAAGAGGCAGCCGTGCAAGCTCTGATTATTGAGGTCAGAGAGAGATTTTAGTTGAAAGTAACTAGGAAGTTACACAATGTCGTAGCTGATTGAATATTACCTAATATGTGAGTTGCACACTGACTAACTGATTCTACTGAACATTTAAATGGTGATTTGTAAATGGAATTGATCAGTAATCACAAAGAGTGCTGTTTTTATTTATGGTTTATAAATCAAAGACATTATTATTGGTATTTATATAGCGCCAACTTATTCTGCCGTGCTTTATAACAAAATGGGAATTTAACAAATGAGATAATGAAATGTAACGGGAAGAATAGGTAGTTGAGAACCCTGCTCAAACGAGCTTACAGTCTAGAGGAGGTGGGGTATAAAAACACAACAGGAAGGGTATTGAGAGAGAGAGCAAATAGACGTGGTGGGAAAGTAGCAGAACTGGAGGTGAGAGGGGAGTGTGGCCGTATAGGAGAGAGCAAGAGGAATGTTTGAGAGATGGAAGTTACTCTTGGACGCCATAAACATTCCTGAAATTTTTAGGGACTTCTTAAAGGATTAAAGACTAGGGGGGAGTCTGACAGGGGTAGACTGGCTGTTGCAAAGAAAAGGAGCCACCCGTGAGAAGACTTGCAGGCGTGAATTTGCAGTAAGGGTGCGAGCAGCAGACAGGAGAAGGTCACCAGTAGAGCAGAGAGACCGAGAGGGGGCATACCTATGAATCAGTGAAGAAATGTAAGAGGGGCTAGAGTTGGTTAGAGCTTTATAGGTAAGGGTTAGTATTTTGAATTGACACCTGTAGGGTACAGGAAGCCAGTGTAAGGATCAACAGAGGGGTGAGGTGTGAGAGGAGAGAAAGATCAGCCTGGCAGCAGCATTCACCACAGATTGTAGGGGGGCAGTACGGCTTCTGGGGAGACCAATTAGGAGGGAATTACAGTAATCCATGCAAGAGATTACTAGAGCATGAACAAGCTCCTTGGCAGCATCTTGCGTAAGAAAGGGGTGTATGCGGGTAATGTTTTAAAGGTGGAATCGACAGGTTTTAGCAACAGACTGGACAAGAGGCGCAAAGGAGAGGCCAGGATCAAAAATGACACCAAGACCGCAAGCTTGAAAGGTTGGGGTGAGGCAGGTACCATTAACCTGCAGGGAGAGTGAAGGAGGGGGATCAGTTTTATGAGGAGGAAAAATAAAAAAACTCAGTTTTAGAGAGATTGAGTTTCAGAAAGCAGGAGGACTTCCAGTCAGAGATAGAAGAAAGGAAATTGGTGACATGTTGTAGGACAGCAGGGGAGAGGTCAGTGGAGGAGAGATATGTCTGGGTGTCATTAGTGTACAGGTGATAGTGGAATCCAAATGAATTAATGAGTTTGCCAAGAGAGACAGTATAGAGAGAGAACAAAAAGGGACCAAGAACTGAACCTTGAGGGACTCCAACTGAGACAGGACCAGGAGAGAAGGTGTAATTGGAAAAAGAGACACTGAAAGAGCGTTAGGAGAGATGGCTGTGTCACAGAGACCAAGAGATTCAGTTATTAACGTGATAACTTTGTCTTTTCTCATCTGATTACTATGTAGCTATTTGAATGAAGCTATGACATACATATCTTTGATCTAAGACATCTTTTTATTATTAGCATTTTTTATTAACTGTAATGAGATGAAAACAGATATGTCCAACAGAGGCTGTTGAAAATGAAAACACTTCGCTGGACGCCATACTGAGCGGTTGCATGGTCGGTGAGCTCCTCTCCTAAAACTACATTAAAACTACGAAACCACGGGCTCACCGACGCCTAATTGACACTAAAAGGGACCCAAGAAAGCTGAAAGCACACAGGACTGTTGCCGGTGCGATCGAGTGGCCCACAGAGACTGAAAACCAGATGCTGGAAAACTGCGGCCTAGCGAGACCCGGGCGGGAGGAACGGCCGACCTCCTAGACGGGAATCAAACGTTCCCGCAACGTATTGAGCTTCGTGCTTACCTCCCCCCCCCCCTTTGGACAGGTGGGGGTTATCCCGGTCCGCACAAGCTTGCAATCAGTGGCGATAACTATCCCCACAACTGCAATAGCCCTTGCCAACCCACTACCGCACAATACAAGATGGCGGCTGTCTTCTGTCAGAGTGAACCCAGACACTCGCAGTCTGAAGCGCTCCAGCTCAGCCCCACTGAACAAGCCTGGCGGAGGCTGGAGAAATTCATTGAGAGGCTCTGGGACCCTGTGGAGATACACCTGCAGCCCACAACACCTCATCTCGGAGGAGAGACTCGTGAGAACGGGACCAGGCTGGAAGAGAAGCCCTTACCAAGTATTATCACCTCGCGGCCACCACAACCCACGACGGTGAGCCCACCGGTGGCAGGAGCCAAGAGACGCAAAAACCCCAAAGCACCATGCATACAGATTGCGGCCTCACCGCTGCAGACAGCGCCGGCATAGAGCCACCAGCCACCCCCCTCCACAGCAGGATACGGTGTGCAGAAACCAACCCGCCACCAGAAAGGGAGAAGCGACCCGTGGAGAACCCAGGGTGTCCCAACCAGCCTACTGCATTTGCAGCACAGACTGACTTCCTGTCCGCCGGACAGGGAGACCGAGATACCCGAACATGGGATGAACTGTCCACGATGGCATGCACGGGGTATTGGTTGAAGACCGCTAACACTGCCTCCCTCTGCGCCCCTTATGTTGCCTGGCAAACGGACTGACCTGGGACAAACCTAACAGTTCCTATCAAGCTTGTGTATTATATTTGATCTCTCATAACCTAGAAAGCAAAGTTACCTTGTTAAACTTTTATTTCAGCTTAGTGATGCCTTAGTTTAATCCTACATGTTGAAGCTCACGTAATTTTAAGCAGCCCAGAGGCTTACTATTAACACTTGGGCAGACCCTGTTCAGTAACGACGACTGATCAGGCTTCCCTAGAATCACAGCGCTGCCTGACAACCAATCTTTGACATGCTGATATCCTGTGGCAGCCTACCCTCGTAACACCTAGCAAGACACACAGTTCTCTACCTAACTACTAACCTGTTTATCTTACCATATGCTCTTCCTACATTTAAACATATAAAAATTGTGCAGAACAATGTTTGCAATGTTATAGTTTTCTAACGCGTACTACTGTTTTTGTGGCAAGCAAAACCTATTATGTAAGCTGTGCACAACAAAAATAAAGAATTATAAAAAAAAAAAAAAGAAAATGAAAACACTTCTAAATCACATACGCCATGGGCTGGCAGAAGAAAATGGGAAATACAGTTAATATAATAATAAGCTGTAATATTTACATATTTAAATTATTATTCATACACAAACTGATATATTGAAAATTACTTTTTCATACACATAATTTAATTAACATTATATATTTATAGTAGTTCTAAAAATGTCGTATCCCTTGCTACTACTCAGGGTTAAAACCACCTCCTGCAAAGTTATATCTGAGAATGGACAAGACAGAATCAAACATATCTCTATTTAACCCTTGCAGTGCTGAAGAGTCCATGGCACACTGTTTATGCCGATGTTCCACTCGCCAGGGTTGAATTTTCACCGGCCAGGGACTAGTATATAGTATGCAATTGAAATGTCTAGCAAACATATGGATTACAAGTCGCCATCACCTAAATATATCTTTCCAGGTGGGCTGTGTATCCCTCCATTGAAAAAACTCAACTGGAGCCATTCTGGATAGCCTAGCAGAATCATGGATAGACTATTGCAGTATACTTACCTAACACTGTTATTAACTCTGCGGCAAATATCCGCAATGTATCTTCATCTATCCGCTTAGAAGAAGTCCATAAGGAATAGAGGTCTCCAAAACTGCAATACGAGCACACTACAGGGAAAATGCATTTAATATAAATCATCACTGCATACGAAATAAACAGTATACACATTATTATGAAAATTGTAATGCGCACATTAGACCTCCCCACAGGAAAGCATTGAATCAACGCAGAGCGTGAGGATGTCCAGCGTCAGATACCGGACCAAAGGTCCATTTCAAACCAGGAAGCCCTGTAGTGGTTGACTAAGTGCTGCAATTTAAACATTGCAGTTTCTCTGGAACTGCAATGTTTAACATTGCAGCACTAAGGGCAATAGGGACAGTGTACCCAGACCACTTCAATGAGCTAAGTGGTCTGGGTACCTACAGTGTCCCTTTCACATACACAAAGCATAAACACAGATAACCATTAGTAGTTTTTACAGGTTTGGTTTATGATTTATTTTGAGAGAGATCGTTTCAGAAATTGCAGGCCAGTAGAAGTTTTGATATTTTCTGGTACATTATTCTACTGTTATTGAGCTCTGTATGAGAAGACTCTATGACCCACTTTCTTATTGTAACAGGGAATAAAGAATAAGAAGGAGGAAGACGAATTGGCGTTCTTAGATTTTTTTTTTGAGAGCAGGGACAGCGCGTTCTGGTAGTGTGGAATGAAGCTAAAGTAATACATCTAGATTTGAGTGCTAGCCTTTTTAATTTATACTAATAATTTACATTGATGGTAACGTATGTCAGAACAAAAAAAACAAAACAAAAAAAAATATATATATATATATTTACTGAATTTATAGAGATGCATTTATAAATTAGACTTACCAGTAATCAGTGACTGGCATTCTAGTTAGTTTTACTGCAAGTCTCCTAATAACAGGATTCAAACAAGTTTAATTCCTGAACAAAGAACTGGTTGCCCAATTGACATCCATATGCGTGTATAGGGTTTGAGCACCTTTCAAGTTATTTACTGGTGTTCTCTCTGAGGCCAAAATTATACTTTGATAATAGTTTGATTTTCAGTTGGAGATTATGTTGTTTGGACATGTGTGCTTTGTTTAAAATTCTATAGTGACAGTTTATATGATATATAAAACCAGCTTGCTTCATAGACACATCTCTCATACCCAGAGAAATTCTGCTGTAAAACAAAATCGAGTTGTGATAGCTCTGATTTCTTAGTGTGCAGATCATGGTGTAGTCTGCATCCATATGCACAGTTGTGATGTCGCAAGCCATCAGTACATCATCTATGGATGCAACGTCCAAGAACGGAACCTTATGGAAAGTTACATGGAATATTCAGTGCGTTCAAAACTCTTAGTAAATATACTGTGTATATTGGTACAGAAGTGAAGAAGTTTAGGGAGTGTTCACCTAGACATGAGGTTTTGAGCTTAGTTAATAAAATATTATGATCAATAGAATTGAAGGCATTTGAAAAAGCATGGAATATAGCTAATGCAAGTTAATTTCTCCCATACTCGTCTAAATATCACTACAAATGTTTAATGGGGCAGTTATGGAAAAATGGTCTGAGTGAAAAAAAACAGACTGAGGTGTTAGACAGAAATTGAGACATATGGTAGTACCTCCTACACAGTTGCAATGGGTTTTAGATAGTACAGAGTACAGAGTTTAATATTAATGTTTTGTCTCCATATCCTTTTGGCGAAGATTGTCCTAATTTTGGGAACACAACCTGACAGCATAGCAGTGTTGACTAAGGTACTATGGTAAAGGGTAGATCGTCTCTGGTGGACTAAGCTATAGTAACACAGCTAGTATGTGGTCTGGTAACCAAGATGCTTCATTATGTCTCAGAAATGATCTGCTCTGCCTACATAATGTACATGTCGTGAGTGCCAAATTGAGGGTTGATAAGACTCTTGTAGGATTCTTATGACATGGCATTACCCTAACATGCCAAGATGTTTGAGTATTTGGGACCCAACACTGCAAGTGCATACCTGAATAAAAAGATCTAAAATGCTGTTTTTTGGTGTGTGGGTGTTGGCAGTGATTTAGAAGAAATCTGTCCGTGCCAGTAAAATGACGACATTGCCAATACAAATACGCTGCATTCATTTAGAAATAAAGAAGCTTTGGTAACTCACTGATAAAGAGATGCTGTTGCCCTTGCCAGCTGTTCCCCAAACACTGAATGAATGGATGCTTGACCTGACGCTGATAGAAAACAAAACAGCCTCTGTTAGTTATCGCTCGTTGCCAATTGGAAGTCGTATCATCCTAGAGTTGCAAGCCAATGCAATACGTACCTGTATGCTGACTTCTTCCTTACATTGTTTCAGTGTATTCCGTCTCAAGATTTCCACTTTTGGTAACACCTTTATAAAAGACACAAATAATTAAGAAATAAACTTCCTAGAGGTATACAAAATGAATACATTGACGTAGGTACAAATTCTTACCTTTAATGCAAAGATCTTCTGTTCGGTACAGTCTAAAACCTTAAGCACTGGTCCAAGCGAACCTTTGGCAACACATCCTAAAATCTACAGCAGGAAAAGTCAAGACAATAATTGCCAATAGATACAGAAATATTCACCAAACTGAGTTTTAGTGTATATAACCCGAATTAGTGAATTCAGGCTAAAATCGCTACGCTGTGACAAGAGCGGAGGTGGAGATTTTTTACAGATCAGCTATTATCCTAATGTTCAAATCAGATTCAATAAAATTTGGAGTTTAGTGAATAACCCAAATAAGTAGGTAAGTACACAAGTCCAACCTGTATTTGATCACGCAAGCGTAATCAATACCCACGAGGATTGTTGTAGGGATCTCTTTCTTGTTAATTACAGATTAACATTTAAGTAGTATATACCTGTTAATCCTTTGCGGTAACTATAGGGCAATACTCAGTTGTCTCTTGACTTTTAAAGACATTAATAATATATTCTAGTGTGGGCATAGAATGTAATCAATATAATCAAAGAAAAATCTATTTCAATTAAGCTTTAGCAAGGAATCCGTCTACCCTTGATTGATGGTAAAGTGAAATAGTATGTCATGAAAAGATTACCTTTAATTCTTGTTGTCCTACAGGCTGCCAAAGTGGAAATTCTGGCAGGAATAGGGAGATGTACTGAGGCAGTGGTCGCTCTGTTGTTTTCTCCCCTTCAGAGCTGAAAGGCTGAGTGGTCTGGAATTTTTCTTTTAATGTACGTCCGGCGATCCACAACCGACTAAGTCCAGATGCAAGCAAGCAATCTCTGCTCAGATGTATTTTCAAAGGTGGAACCAAAAAATTGCTTGTCAAAGGCGAACCACTCTGCAAAGTAATTTTCCAAAATAAAATCCAAGAAGATTTATATCGGATACAACAATGTAAATACTTACTATTTTAGGGATAGCAATAACGTAGATACTTGAATCATATTGTAAACATTACCATGTGATCAATACATAGAAATACTCAACAAGGAAAAAAATCTAGGACAATCAATGAGTCTTTTGCAATAAATAACTATTAATATTATAGCTTTCCATTGCAACCCAAATTTTTAACAGGAAAATAAAAAAGTAGCCCAGTTACACAGCAATGATTTTGCACCTAGGGAATGTATAATAATGATTGACCTATACATAGCAATTTGTTGGAGAGAATTATACAGTATTAATTACGCAGAATATTAAACTTTTTTTTAGGGTCGTCACACAAGTTCTGTCCTCATAATCTATTTCAGCATCATTGTCCCTATAGCGCATGTTTGTAAAGAAAGAAAATGTAATATTTTAGGACATTTTTAATAATTTGTGATTGACACATTTAATCACTTACCTTGATTTCACTGTTTGCAGCTCCCATGTCCCATAGTTCATCAGTCTACATCAAAGCAAAGCAGACTTTCCCCGATAACACCTCTCCCCCCCTTGCATGGTTCTGATCTCCATGAGGTCACGTGTTGGGTTAATCCGCTTTTGTTTGACAAACAATTTTAATCTGCTCTTAAGCACTACTCATTACTTATGCATCCCTCTCTAGTGTTGCATTATACATGAGTGCACAATATATAAATATCACGTGTTCTGCTGGTTTTTAAGAATATGCAATCTGTGTCTCTGACATCAGGCAGCAGACAGAATGAAAAACTAGAACACACACAGTCACAGACATTCTGTGAGATTTGAAATCGCTGTTTAGTAAATGAGTGAGTGTGCTGGATCTTGTATGTTGTGTGAATTGGCCCCAGAAGCACTTTTATAATGTATGCATATTTGGGTAAGTGCAGTACTCATGGTTTCATATATAAATATATTTGGGAGTCCAGACCAACTCACTGGTTTTGCACTCCTCCCGGTCACAGTTGTGTGTGTATATACACTCATGCACACAACTATGATATCGACTCCAAACCGAATTGTGCCTTTTTAATCTGGCTACAAGAATGCAATGTATAACCTATTATGCTCTACTATAATGTTGTATTTTGCATCACCAGATCATTATATTTGGTTTTCATGTTGTTTCCAGACAGGTGACGGTTGCAATCTCATGTTCAGATGAATTGAATGCTGCAGTTCCAGCTTTTAATAGATAAAAAAAAAAAATCACTAACTGAAAACAATATCGTGCTTGAGGGTCAGTTGAACAATGATCTATGTCAGGGGTCCTCAAACTCCGGCCCCCCAGATGTTGCTGAACTACAACTCCCATGAATTTTTGAATTACATAGATAGCCAGAGAATCATGGGAGTTGTAGTTCAGCAACATCTGGGGGGCTGGAGTTTGAGGACCCCTGATCTATTTGAAAGTGTAGCATGATTCTTGAGAAGGCAACATAACAAAAATCATAGCCATAATCTATATAGGTTAGACAAAAAAATGTAACCTTTCAACATCTGTGCTCACAATTTTCAAGCCTGAAATGATACCGGGGCACGCTACCCATGTCGGGGGCTCCCTGGTGAAGCATCCGATACCGGACTCGAGTGTATCCCGTAATCGAGAAGCCAAGGCGGCAGGCTGCTGTGGACGGAGCTGAGGGGAGACGGACGCTCTCCTCGCCCCTACACCGGAGGTACCAAGCCACTGAGTACCCATTCCCCCCCCCCCCTCAGGACCAGTGGGGGTGATCCCGGTCCAACCCCCCCCAGGCAGCGGGGCTAAATCGTGCACTGCCAGGGGAACCTCTCAAGCAGCCCTTCACTGCACAGGCCTACAAAATGGCGGACGCCACATATGCCCACAACAGCCACATGGAAAGGCAAAATATACAGACCAAGCTGGATGCCCTACTCAAAGCCTTTTGGGCGACACTGGCGAGCAGAAGCCGACAGGCCGCAGAACCAGGGCATTCACCTAATAGAGAACCTGAGCAGCCCCGCCAGAACCACACGGGCCCCTGTCCGACGAGACCTACAAGATGGCGCCAGAGAAGGAGACCCCTCCAGCCTACACATAAACGAGCGAGACTGCACCACGTAAAGAGGCCTGTCCGAAGTAGCTAAAAAAGCTCCCCACAGACCCGGCATGAAACCGAGACCCACGACACAACCAGCAACTGGCAAGCTTCCCACATGGCTCAGAATCCGCCTGAAACCACGGGTAGGGTATCAGAGAGGAACACCACTCACCTGCGTAACCAGAACAGGCCATCAGCCGTTGGAACCAGCGATGCTGCACCTTGCTGCGACCCAGCAGGACTCTTACGTATCCCCAACAACTTTCCCTGTGCTGAGTATTGGCTAACAGTGGACTCACAAGATGGGAACCACAAAGGTACACACCCAAAGCCTTTAGTACAACAGACGCTGGATAGGCCACATTGCAGCCTCCTAAACAGACTCACCAACAATGCAGAATCTTACAGAAATGTTCAATGTTTGACTACTCTTATATAGCTGGCACTCTCACAATATGCCTTACATACAAGTATATTGCTATACTGCACACACCAATCACGCTCTTAAGTAGCCTGTCATTTAATCACTTAGAGAAGTTGAACCCGACTGCCTGGTACTACTCTCCATCTTTACACGCGCAACTTACACGCATGCACCGTACCTACTCCTTCACATAGACGCGCACGATTAACAGCAAAGCTTACACTCTGTGGTCCAGTCATTATTCTGAATGCATCTCACAAATGCCGACGTAATCAATATACTCGCAACGAATTTACTTATGCATACAATCTGTCTTATTACAAAAAATGTGCAACTGTATATCGTTATGATACATTTATAATACGCCTGTGTCTGCTGTCGTGGCACCACAGGCCTGTTTGTAAACTTTATTTCACCAAAAATAAAGAATAAAAAAATGATGAGTGGGACCCACAAGGGGCCAGCAAGTCAAAATAGCAGTTGTGACTGGAGCCCAGTTGTTTCCACGTTAACCCCTTAAGGACCAAACTTCTGGAATAAAAGGGAATCATGACATGTCACACGTCACCTGGAGTTCGCAGCTGGATCAGAAGACTACCTTAATGCAGTCATATCTTTAACTGGTTGTCCATCGGGAGCCATCCATCCAATCAGAGTGCTTATTGAACTCTAGCTAGGAAGAGGAGCTACCTGGGGGTACATAGGGTGGTGCAGAAACTATACTGTTGGGTTCTTCTTGTGGTTCTGACCTTGGGTATGGAGAAGGGACTCCCAGATGCAGAGGAACCATGGAGGGTCTGTTCCTATTTTGTGTAAATTACCCCTTTGCGGTGGAAATCGACATTCTGTTCTGTATGAATATCCTGTGTTTTTGACAATAAAAGTTTTACCTATTTTCACCCAATCACTATGGGGATTGGGCTATAATCAGTCATGATCACTGCTATTACTAAGCTGAAGTATCTGATACGAAGAAATGAGAAGTAATGGAGGGACTCTCTGCTCTGGTCCGGAACACTGGAAAAGTAGTTGAAGTTATCAGTGATTAGGAAAAGGTTTCTGTTTCAGTATTTTCACGTAAATGTAGCATTTTTTTATTCACTACAATTCTTTACTCTTTGTTTAAAAGCCCAAATGTCAACAGAAGTTTGTTTTCCTGGCACTGGAGAGTCCCTTTAAGTACAAACACCCAATTCCGGCAACCTTGATGCCTGCCTCTCCTCAGAGCCGGAGGTCCCACACCGCTGTCCTAAACACCTGCTCTTCTTCCAAGCTGGGTGCCCACTTGGAGGTAACCCCACCGTCGTTCATACACCCAGTGGGGTGACCGGCCCCGGAGAACCCCTGGGCCCATGAAGAGATCAATGGACTTAAGGTACGGGATCCCATTAAGGCCTTGGGCCAAACACAGGTGGACATAGGGCTTTGCGGATCTACATGCCTTTGGCAAAAGTTCATACTCAGCAAGAAAGGGTGGACAGGGAACAAATGTTCACCTATTGAGCCCGGAATTCGGACTGCTCCACCATACTGGCCTGCCTGTGGGGTTGGATGACTCCAGGTTGCTAATCTTTATTATGTTATGGTTTCTCCTATTACTTAACACCCAGTGGTAGCACAGCATTTATAATTTCACTGTTTTACTAACATGTATTCCTTTTTATTGCAATCATCTTCCCAATACTTTGGCTTATATTTTTCTGGGCACTCTCTTTTGCTAAATCGACACTCAGTGCTTAAGACTAGCCTGTTTTCTTTAACCACAGTCCATATGTTTAGCACTGTATACATACACTTGTTTTCTTCCTTTTAATTTAAAATGAGTCATTGCAATCTTATATGTGACAAGCTGTATTACTTATCATGCATCCTGTGTCCGATAACCATTACTACTCCCTGTGTATATTACTACTACCTAACGTTTAAGCTTTTCAGTTACAAATGTTTACACTTGTAATACTACTACATGCTTCAATAAAATATGATTGACAAAAAAATAAAACAAAACAACACATCAATTTTTTTTTTAAAAGTAACAATAGGATTTTTAATTGTTGTTGGTGGAGAGCAATCCATACGAAAAAGTGCAAACGTTTGCAGATGAGAGTAAGGAGTTTATATAACAATGTAGCAGCATCAACTGCAATCACCCCCATCTTAATGCATACAAATATGTATTTCTATTATTAAAAAAAGTTAAACACCACCTCTGCAAATAATGCTCTTTTTAAACCATAATCATCCAATGCACGGTGACAAATGCAAAACCAACTCTGCAAGGTTTGTAGAAATGCACAAATCCCCTACTTTTGCGAAACAAAAATAATTAGGTAAGGAAAAAAATAATAAAAAAAAAACAATATAGACCCAATAACAGAAATATGTCTGCATTAGAATTACTAACTTCATGTAAATAGATTATTCACCAGGAATCGTCAATAGTTTATTATTTGCCTGCTTCTATAATGTTTTATCCCCAGAGAGAGAGGTCAGTAGCAATCACACAAATGGGAACTATACTCTCGTTGTATGCTACTGTCACCTGCTTGTAGAAAATGATTTAACGTGTTACTTAAGATAAGCTTGCCTTCTGCACAGGCACAATCTGTTTGTGAATAAGTAGGATATATTGTTAAATATGCACATAAATTTGTAGGTAATTTAAATATTTCTCCAGCGTTGCCGCACTTAACAGCTGCTGACTATTCTTAACGAGGATATGCCCTGATGCTTTAAAAGGCTGAGGAAGGACAAATAGCCCTCTCCAGTTATAGTACTCGACCTTCCCTTTGTGTTCGTACGCGGCCGTATTATCTCCAGGTTCAACACATTTATAACTGGGCTGTTGTCCGACATGTGCAAACAATTGGCTCATACAAACAGGCAATGTGGGCTACACACATTATTTGCATTAACTCTGCTGGGAACATGTTTCTGAAGATAGCCATGCATGTTGTGACACTGCCTTTAGGGTAATATTTAATGTTATACATACCTCCCCTTCTTCTGTGCCAGGCTGGCATTAGCCACAATCTACTTTCCACACACATGCAAAAGATGTAGGATAATTGCCCAGCAGTGTTTATTTATATGTAATTTTATTTTATAATATAAACGGACAGATGTGTCCACGCAAATAACATTCACTGAATGTACTTTCTGATTACAACACCCTGGATAGAAATGAAGGCTGGATTTGTGTCATAATTACAGGAATATGTCCAGTGGAAAAAGACTGCTGTGATAGAGGCGGAAGATATTAGTATTATATTAGAATCTACAGAGAATCAATCTTTTCTTATCACCAAATCTACTTTGGTGATTGCAGCAATCAGACAGACAGGAATAATGTCCTTGATTCTCCAGCTTACAGACCCCAAGCTAGAATAGCTGATAACATCATCCTATTCTGAACGCCATTGCCCAAAGCATAATTTATCTGTGTAGCAGTAACTGACTTTAAGACTCTGTGTAGGCCAGAACAATTGGGTACGGTTTCCACAGTGTGTATTATCTGTGAAGGAAAAGTGATCTTCAAAGGTTCACACCTATGGCCTATTTCCGCCTTCCAAATAATAATGATTTCTTGCTGGGGTTTTTGTCACTCATGCTTAGTCCAATGAGCAGTCGGGCCTTCTCGTCCTCCTCCTGTTGGTTCATATCCTGTTTTGTCTCCCCCTTAACTTTGGTTTCGGCTCCTGCAGCTGGCTTTAAGCGCAATTTCTCCTTAATCACCTACGGAGTAGTGAAAATACAGTTAGTACGGGCAGACATGGCCAATTTCTAGTAAGGCACAGACAGCCTCTTGTGCTAAGAAGACAAAACTAGTGACTAACATCCTTATTCTAGATCCAGTAGCAAACATTTAACAAGACTCAGAGGGGTAAATATTGTTTTCATGTAATAATTCTTTAAATAAAAAAAAAAAAATAGGATGTGGGGGGAGAGAATGAAGGAAGGAAATAACTATTATCATGTTTGTTTATTTCTGAGCACTGAGTTCAGGGTAGCATTTCAGACAAAATATAACTTTATTATTCACTACTACTGCTTACTAAATCATCACCGTTTTACTGAATAAATGAGCCCTCAAAAGTAAAGAGGGCCTGCGTGTGCTTGCATGTGTATGACACTAGCATGCGTGCACTAGCAATTGACCCATGTGGGCACCCATCACATGACATTGAATTATGTTCTGCATTATAGAAAGGTTTACACAATAGAATTAGTTCGGCTAGGTACTGTATGGTGTTAAAGACTCTGGAGTCAGGGGGGCGTACTGTAAATAGCAGGACTAGGAATCTAGATTCTAAAAATTGTGGGGCAGTTAATCCACAGACCCCATAAATAAAGAAATAAATGTAACGGAAAACTGCAGACACATAGAACCAGCTAATAGGAAGACATGAATTTAAAATGTTTCAAACTGGGCACCTGGAATCTAAGAATAAAGGAAATATTGAAAGGGCTTTTTGTAGCATCTTGAAAGCTCAACAGAAGCTCAAACTGAGAAACAAACAATTTCATATTCAGCATAGACATCATCTGCCAGTATAATGACAGCTACACTTACCTGAGCTACCAGAGCCTTCCGACTGTCTCTTTTAACTGCCATGGCAAAGTCCAGCCACGTCCAGGTATTGTTGTGGTACTCCAAGCATGGCAACACTAGGTTAAGGTCACCCCAATCCACACTGTTCTTTTCACCCTTTAAATGAATAATTTAATTTGTAAACAAGTTCCAGCAAAATATCCAAAATATAAATGCACTAGCAATTTTTTTTAGCGCTCTACTTTATCACTATTTGTCACAGGCATATAAAGTAGTTGCTATACAGAGCCACTAGTGTTCTTAACATAGATATAAAGAAACGTTCCATCATTTTGTACAAAAAAAGACAACAAAACATGCAAATGGTCACTTAAAACAAGAATTGAAAAATTGTCATGTTGCTGAACGAACACATTTCGATTGGATGTCACTGCTATTTTCTATTTTGTACTACTGGGACTCTGAAGTAAGGTATTAGTTATACGTTCCATTCATTTTATTACAATATCCAGTTAATTACCTCTATTATAAACTATAAGTTTACATCTGCATTGCTGGATTGCCTGCTCAGTCACACAATTTTCTCTCCTGAAATACATGTTATTCTACTACCCATTGCGTGCCCTTCGATGTAGCATTCCAAACCTTCTCATCATTGTCTCCCAAACATGTCCTTTCTTCTACTGCCCATTTTAAAATACAATGTGTCTACGTTTCCTGTGTTTATATATTTTGCTGGAACTTGTGAATAAAAATATACATACAAGCTCACAGATGACACAAGTTAGTACTTTCTCTATATGGTCTTACTGTTGGTAAGCAGATGGTGGAGGATTCAATATATAATCTGTAACTTGCTTGAAATTTACATACACAAATTAGCAATTTCTAGAAATCCTTTTACATACCTTGTAACTAACGCACAGAGGCACCTGTGGTATTTTAATGTAGATAAAAGAATTGTTCATTGCCGCTCGCTCCTTCATTTTATCCAGGTCATCCACAGGATGCTGTTGGAAACACAGAATATTAAAACAACTGCTACAGGAAAATGTAGTCAGACACAAAATTATTTAAATATTGCTTGGAATTTAAAGCAGCACAGTCATGCCAAACTTACCTTTCTCCTATGGTTTCCTCTTCTCCTCCTCTCATAGATCTACTTTGCCTTATGTATTTTTCCTACGCTTGACCTTCTTTGACCAAAGGAGGAGCTTAAGTCCACTCCATTTCCTGTGGTCAAATAAATTGTCCTACAATACTCACCTCTTCTACTCCATATTCTAGAGTTGCTTCATTCACAGTTCGAACGTGCTGTCATTTAGACACGGCACCGGCGAATTCACCGATTTTCATCCTAACAGAATGTCGAACATTTGCCCATTCGTGTTGGGATGAAATTTGTGCATTTTGTTCGGTTCAAAATTTCATTCGAATGAATGAAATTCCGATCCGATTCATGCCGCAGCATGTCTACTGAACAGTAAACAGAGTTTGTGTAAATGAAAAAAAAAGACAGCACACGGAACATGGGGAATGTCTCGTACACAAGCAAATAGGCAAATTAAAGTTTTGATGGATGAATTCTCATATTATTCTTAATTTTAGGAACACAATTTTTTTTTCTTTTATTTTTTTACCTCAGGTGCTTTTCGGAAAGATCTTCTAACTCCAGTTGTCCTGTTCAATCCCTGACCACCTCCTTTCCCTGGCCCAAGGGACACAGTATCTTCAGCAACAATTAGCTGCCGTGGTTTCATTACAGGCATGCCTGCAATGTACAGTAAAGAATTACAACTGGACATGGTAATATGTATTTTTCTGCTTTTATTCAATTATTCCTAAAGATCAATCAAAAAAGGAATCAATGGGAATTTATCTTTTCATTAAGGAAAATAGGGATTTGGTCCTGTCAGCTTCAGTGTACGAACAGAAGGTAATCATAATATTCTGACTGTACGTTTGTTGGTGATTTAGCACAATGTGTAGATTTACGTCGTTTGGTTTCAGACCAAAGCTTTGAGTTGTGGGGGAGAGGGGGCAACCATGCACAGCCCCCAGTGTCTAGCACATGACACTGTAGCAGGTCTAGCTCTCAGTTTTCCACAATGCATAGCACGCAGTTACAGTCGCAGCACTAACATTTCAGCTACACAGCAGAGTCTGGGCACTCACCTGTTGTGACGAGTTTGGACTTATCCTCTTCATCACCTACTTCCTCTTCCTCCACACTGCGCCCAGGAAAGAAGAAACCCATCATTCTGTGGAAGAACTGGTGCGTGAGTTGGATGGTCAGAGGCACCACATTTATCTACAATAGGAGACAAAGGAGTTTTCACTTTATGCTCTTCCAAATAACCAATGCATGAAAATCTCAGCAAACTGCAGCAGTCTATAAATAGATTAAAAAGGAAAAAAGAAACCAACCAAAAGAAAGCATATACTCTCCTTACCACCATTATAGCTTATATTGCACATAACACTACCATAGAATAAACTGAAACCTTAAATTATACAAACATACCAGGAGCATGTGTTGTACACACACATTAAATATATATGTATCTAAAAACACATACAGACACACATACCACTGACAGGTGAAGTGGCTAACATTGATTATATTGTTACAATAAGGGGTGGGATATATTAGGCAGTAAGGGAATAGTCAGTTCTTGAATTGCATGTGTTGGAATCAGGAAAAATGGGCAAGCAAAGAGATCTGTGACTTTTAGGTGGGCTAAATATTGATTGCGAGACGACTGGGTCAGAGCACCTCCAAAATGGCAAGTCTTGTGGGCTGTCCCTGGTATGTTATGTTTAGTACCTAAAAAAATTGGACAACCAGTGAACTGACACCAGGGTCATGGGCATCAAAGGCTCATTAATGCACATAGGGAGCGAAAGCTAACCTGTCTGGTCCGAACACAGCTACAATGGCTCAAATTGCTGAAAAACTTAATACTTAATACTGGCCGTGATAGAAATCTTACTCCCCGACTCTCATATGGTGACGTCAAACACGCATGTGCACTGCAGTCACGGTCAACTGTACAGAATCATTGAATATAATGATTCCTAATGGAGCACATTGCAGTGAGCACTGCGTTTGCCTCTACGTTCCATTGGATTGGCCTGTGATCCTGGATGATACAACTCGAGGAGGTGGTCGCGGCAGCACTGAGGGGGACTCAGCATTGAAGAAATGGTGAGTAATTTTGTTTATTATTTGATTTTGTGCAGATGGGGGATGGGATGAATATGCGCATGAGGACTGTAGTGTTAGGAATACAGATATGTATAGAATTATGGCTGAAAAGACCAGTGGACATATCAGAGTCTATATTAATGGACAACTAGGAAAATATGATCTATGGAATGCCTCATTTCTCTTGGAAAGAAAAAAAAAGTCTAAAGTCATTTTAAAAGTGGAAAAGAAATGGTAAGTACCACACTTTTGTTTAACATGACAATGTAGTAGTAACATCCAAAGATTTATCCAAATCACGTGTAATGTAAGTACACTGTAAAGGTTATATTTATGAGCTCCAGCGGAGCTTCTGGACCAATAACGAAAGTGGTTACCTCAAAGTGCTCTTTAATGGAAATACCGCCTACAGGTGGACGAACTTTGCTGAACAGTCTCAGTGCAAGCTGTCTCCCTGACTGTCCTGGGCTCTGTGGACGTAGCGCTACCTGCAAAGTACAAACACAAAACATAATGGAAATCTGGGTGAAAAAAAATGTATCTTAATGCACCTCTCACAATAACAATACATCTAGTTTTATTTGTGCTACAACACTGCACAGACTTCAGGGATGAGTCACACTTGTATAAAGACTACATAAATGACTCCGTTTTGCTTTATCTTGATATTTTCCAATAATATTTTTCATGATAACAATCTACTATTTTGTTTTTCTTAGCAAAACAAATAAAAAGGAATGGAGGCGTCAGATCTATTTAGTTCTTATTTCAGTGTCGAAAATCGAAGTGAACACTAAAATGCAACAATGATCTCCCACTTGAATAGTGTAAATAATAAAATGAAAGTGAATACTCTTATAAAATGCAATATTAATCCTCAACTTCAATGGCTTAATCAAAGTGCATAAATTAAAGTGCAATAGTGTTTTTTTTCAGATAATGCCTACAAGAATGGTTCAACAAACTGGGCAATATTTAATATGTGCAAAGCCAATAAAAGAATTTATATACACAAATATAAGTGCAAATATGTATAAAAAACATCTTGAGTCAACAACATTCATGTGCCTATTGTCTACGACATGTTATACGCTAGTGAAGTCTTGTGAGCACAGTGAATGCATGGGCAGGTTGGAAAGGAAATGGACAGCTGGCAACGGAATGATTTATATAATTCACTAAACCAATTTTCTAATTTTTGTCAAACGGGATTGGAAAATTCTCTACCCCATTTATTTAAAAAAATGCAGACACCGGTCTGTTTTTTATATGAGAAAGCACATAGAGTTATAATGCTTTTCCACAATATTAGCAAAAGTCATAATGGCCACCACCATTCCACAGGCCATGAGCCAAGATGTGCTTCTCACCTTATAGACTGCATTGGGCAGCAGATTGTTCATGGTAAACCAACCCAGCTCCAACAGATGTTCTGCAGTGTCATCAGACTTATTGACCTATGAAGGACAAATGGAATACATTAGCTTAATGAGCGTAATAGAACAACATTCTTCTGCATTGTTTTCACAATTAAATATATAAATGGAATAAAAGTTTAAAGAAAACAAATTATTGTCAGTATTAATGTACTGCTAACCTACATGGCACCTCAAAAGTTATGATAATTTTCAACTGCTTATGAATCCCAACCCAAATGTTGGCCCAATTGTCCTTTCTATGTCAGTAACACATAGTGTAGACCAGGTATCTTTGGCACTCCAGATGTTTTGGACTACACCTCCCATGATGCTTTGCAGTATAGTTTTTAGGATTTTATATGTACCCAGGGTCTATTTTCTGAATAATTCCTCCAGCAGCAAGAGGTCTCTGGTTTTACATGGTCTGATTAAAGTATAGGTCCATCAGTTGTTAACAAATACATCTCGTATACCTCAGTTTGATTACTGCTCATAAAAAAAAAAAAAATGTTCTATCACTGTTTATAAGACAAATGCTAGAAAAAGACAGAATATACTGTGAAGATATATGGGTAGAAGGTTGTCGGCAACATAATCAGGGATATTCACTGAACTGGTTATTGTCAGGAACTAACCGAGATGTTGCAAATTCTAAGCCCCCCAAAAAATAGCCATATTGAAATATTATCCCATTATTCAGCTGGTCTTATTTTGGCCTAGTATGCGCAATGCTCTGGACTTTTCCTGGTTTAGTGGATAATCCCAGTACAATATTACACAAAAATAATATTAAATGCATGGAACATCCTACAAGCAAACATGGTGGTAGGAGCTTGACACTAAACATGTTTTCATTAAACTAAATTCTATATGGTTGTGAAAATGTAATTTATAACTATGATCTACTACAAATTATACCTACCATGAATCCTTCATTTGCCCATTAAAGAATAGAATTATATTTGCATTCAGAAAAAGATAAATCCTTTAATGTGATTACAACATCCAAATTGTACTGTATATGTCAAGTTCTTAGGTTGTAGGCTGATCCTAGTACCTTGCTATAGAGGAATCGCTGTAGCTCTAGCTCTGCAATGCCCAGCTGCCCATCCTGCTCCGTAAGACGCCACCGTGCCTGTGCAAAGTAAAACTCAGTGCGACGTGCCACGCTCACGTCCTCTGACTGCTTGCGCAGTTCCATTTTGTTTGCTCTCTGTAGCTGGAAATCTTTGAAACATCTGAAATAAAGGATGTTCTCTTTTAGCATTTAGCCTCCTTATACGATTTATAACCACTGCTTAACATTTATGGCATATGTTCGTTTAGACTTAAAGAGACAATCTAGGCACCTATAAAATAAAAAACTGATCAGTTGTCTCTTGGTAATACCATCACAGAAAACAAGAAATGGTTACAAAAGGAACATGGGAATCACAATTACAATTACATTATTAAAATCTGTCAACAATTTAGTATTTTACCTGCTACAGTTGTTTAGTATACAAGGGTTATTCAATAAACTCCAAATGGAAAATAGGACACACAAATAGCTGATCTGGAAACATTCTTCAAATCTATAATAGCCACAACATGGCTATTTTTTGCCTCAGTTTTTCCATGTGGATTTAATTTGTGCTAATATGGAGTTTAGTGAATAATCCTCCGAGAACTGTGCTGTAAGAAAATGTTTTGACAAAGATTCCTGAAGCAGAGCTTCTTCATTTTTAATTTTTTTTTTTTAATGGTTTAACAGGATTGATTTTTCATTGAAAATTGACCCAAGATAAATGTAAATAGCACATAAAATTGCCTTATAAAAAACAACAGCCCTTACATATCATACTAAGTAAAACAGGGCATAATTCATAGTAAAAGACTAGTTCCAACCAAGCTTATAGATCCAAATGCACATATTTATGCCGTATTTAAATATATATTCAATATTATGGCACTGTAATGACTGATACACTGACTGGTGTCAAGTACCATAATGCATTGCTGATATGAGAAGTCCATGGCTGGGCATATGAGCTCTTGCTGATCTGCTGAGGTTGTGACCTCCAGTCACATTACCTGATTAGAATGTTCAGCTCCTCACTCTTCTGCTGCAGGTCCATCTTCTCCCGACATAACTGGCCTTGGAGCTTCTGATGCTGCTCATGCAGAGAATCATTCTTACTTTCATCATGCAGTAACTGAGAGAGGAATGATTATCTGTTATCACTTTGAATGCAGATGTCTTTATTTAGATTAATACACATACATCATAAGTGTGTCAACGTGTAGCTCTGTGGTTTATGTGCTAACCTTCATGATTAAGTACATTTGTTTCTCCAGCAAGCGTATTTGCAGGACATGTTGCCGCACAGCTTCCTGAAGATGTAGAATGCTGCTGCGCTGCTCCTCTGGATTGCTGGAGATCTCCAACTGGAAACGAACACGCTGCTTCTTCTCACTGTGTTCCTGAAAGTCATGAGGTGGTAGAAAACTGGGAGTAAATTCCTCTAGAACTAGCAGACTGAAATCTTTGATTCGATAATCTTAAAATGGAGCATTCTACAGCCTCTATAAGCTATCTATAGAATTAAAGGCTAGGTTTAGAGAGGACAGAGGATAAAGAAAAGGGTAGGCCATCTTTGTATTGCAGATGGCTGTTACAACATTCATTGTGAATTCATTGCAGATATCAACATACATTTACTACAAACATGAAAAGGATCAAACATACAAAACATCAAGAACTTACAAAGTTGGTAAATAGTTGACAATATCTAATCTGTAGTGTTTGAATCGTCAAGAAAAAAACAACCAACCAAGCTTTATCACTTCCAAAACTTGTTTATTGTTTGCCAGTGCTTCAGGCTAACTATGACTGCAATTTATAGAACATCTGCATAACATACCTTTCGCTTTGGTTCTACATGTAGTAACAAGTTGTTGACGATGTCCAAAATCATAGCATATTGAGCAGGGTTGGTGGATATCTCCAGATGCTGATGTTTTAGTGTAAAAGTATCTGCAGCTGCTGCAATCAAAGACAAACTGTGAGTATCTCTCTATTTCTTCAGACCTCTTACTTATTTATCACGTATCTTCTGTCTGGACACTACCACCACACAGTTACCTAGCCTCACCATGCACTATATCCCACATTTTTCCCACCTCCATGTAACTACTACCAATCATTCACCAAGCCTTCACACTCAGGAGGAAAGATGAGACAGGGGATTATTTTAAAAACATTTAAATACATGAAAGGGAATCAACACAATAAAGGAGGAGACTATATTTAAAAGAAGAAAGACTACCACAACAAGGGGACATAGTCTTAAATTAGAGGGGTATAGGTTTAAAAATAATATCAGGAAGTATTACTTTACTGAGAGGGTAGTGGATGCATGGAACAGCCTTCCAGCTGAAGTGGTAGAGGTTAACACAGTGACGGAGTTTAAGCATGCGTGGGATAGGCATAAGGCTATCCCAACTATAAGATAAGGCCAGGGACCTAATGAGAGTATTTAGAAAATTGGGCAGACTAGATGGACCGAGTGGTTCTTATCTGGCGTCACATTCTAGGTTTCTATATTTCACTATTACCACACATTCACCCATCCTCTACATGAACTTTTACCATAAATCCATCCCTCCCCGCCTCCACATACAATACTACCAAACCTTCACCAACCTCCACGCTCACTATTAACACAAATTCACTCCACATCCTCATTATTTTTACAAATTCACCCAGCTTTTACACATAGTACCACTCAAGGCCCTTCTATCCTTCAATGCACTATTTCAAGAAAACAGACTCTATACATACTCCTTCCACAAATACACCACTTAAATTCTCCCGGGCGCTGCATTAACTGAATCACTACCAGACGCATTTCACAAACCTTTCTGCACTGGACACACTTGCTTTTCAGAGCCCAATCTCTTCAGATAAGTGCACTTCCAAAAACAGTTACCTGTTATTGACTCAGATAATCCAGACACAATCCCATCCTATACATTCTATTATCTTCCACACACACTCCATCTACTCAACCACTCACCCTCTAACATACTGCGAAAATACTCCCCACACCCTCCTCTTTTCATCAATCAAGTAAACTATTTATATTTCTATCCCATACATGGATTCACAACAAATTCACAATCTCCAATAATTTTTCTTCATTACAGGTCCACAATTGCCAAATTTTTTAAACAAATCTACATATACGATCGCCCCGTTCTATGCATCACTTAGAAAAACAAAACAAATGCAATCCACATACCCTCTTGTCCTTTCAATAAATCTTCCTTCTCTGGATGTGTAGGTGTTGATGGAGGTTTAATCTGCATTGCCAGCTCTGGATCAATATCATGGCTGTAGCTGATGTAATACATGTGGCAGTTACAACGAGAAATGATCCTTTGCACCTGTTGGTTTTGCTGAGCCTCTGCCGGATGACTCCAGTCTATGACAGGAGAAAACGTTGGTTTTAGGAAGATGTGCATTATGTAACCCCATAAGCAAATTAGCAAAATAGCACTAGCTCACTCAATCCTACCATTCTGCAGAAAGCAAACTATTTGCCAAAATAAAAATATCAAACTTACTGAAACACCCACCCAGCCAGCTGGTCCAGACAGGATAGCTCAGAGTGACAGACAGGGGAAGAAAAAAAGCAACAGCAAAAAAATAGACGACTAAAATCCCACCATCTAACCTACAGACAATTCATTCATTTTTGCTGGCATTTTATCGTAACCATAAATCCCTATGAAGTGAATTGAGAGATTCAAAGCAGTTGTATTCCACATTCTACTTGTTCCCCAAGTTGTTTTCGCTTCTGGTGATATATGCGAGTGATTCCTTTTCCACAACATTTCCTATTTTTGCTTTTACTGCTGGTTAACAAAATAAACAAATCAGAACAAATCAAAGACATACCAAGATACAATAAAGTCATCCAGAGGATATATATCCTTCACTCACTTATAAATAACACATTTAATTAAGGAAATTCCCTAGAAGCACATTTCAGACCAATCATGACATAATGCTAAAATGTGTTGCATTGGATCGGTATCTTTCATTTTTCAATGAAATGGACATTCATTAATAAGCCTACGGTGAGCACAAATTGTAATGTGGTATCCCATTCTCTCTTCGACAACATTCCTTAATATAGCCACAAAGAACATATCTTGATCTGGAAATTCTACATATAAAACCAATTATAATCTTAAAGGCCATGAAATTCCAAATATTCCTGTTCAAATCAAGGTTTTACATGTATCGTTGCCATTACATTAAATGGCAAATTTCCCTCAGCAGAGCTTCTCTGCTTCTCTGGTTTCCCACCTCTCGTATCAGATCCCTGCTAACTAGAATACAATAATTTTGTCTGAGCTGCTCTATATTTTGAGAACTAAATGTAATATCAACTCCTGCCATATTCAACCACGTTCAGAAAACTCATATCTTCCAAACCATTTCGCTTAGCATAGTTAATATATATTTTAGATATCTTAGCCCAGTGAGTCTAATCCAGGGCACACCACCGACCAAGGTCTAGTCAGTAACCCCACTGGAACGGGGAATGGGAGATACCTAAATCCTTGATTATAAATGTCCCTTGAGAACTTGGACAGCTAGACAGCAAGTATCCTAAAATATGATGTTTATGGTCACTGAAATGATTTGTTTCGGGTGCATTTTGTGAGAAAGGTTTTCTATGGCAGGAATTGATACCAACACAGTTCTCCTATCTTCAACTATGGTTTTGATTTCTCCATATCCTCCTCCAAATTTTGTGTTTCACCAGACACTGTTCTCTGTACACTTACAAGGCTCTCAAAACCTACTATATGCAGCAGTCTGCTGAAATAAAGAGACAGCTGGAAAACAGCACTCTTTACATTTTGTAATTCCCACGCCTTACCGTGCTATAATATGAAGAGCATCGGATAGGACAAATATCCTCAGGATTGATGAGTTTACAAGAGAAGGATGAAACTGCAGTCAGGAGTCTGTCCTGATACTGGAATAGGCAAGTTTAATTGAGTATAACATTTTTTACAAAGTAACAATGAGGGCCCAAAATCCTATATAAGGAACCAATCATATTTTACAAAAATATATATATGTAATCACATAATTCTTAATTGAAATGTTACTTTAAGTTATTATGATCTTTACCTAAAAGATCCAGTATTGTGGAAGTTGGTTTTAGAGAAGCACATTATAAAAATAATAAGACTGGCAAATGAGGAATGCTTTTAAAGCACTGCCGAATTTCTGACCTGTGGTAGTGCTAACCATGCCCCCGACAGCCTGACCACTGTCCATGAGTTCCTGCACAGAGTCTAGATTCCTGTGACGATGCTCCTCTATGTTCTTCACCTAAAGGAAACATGTTAATATACAGTATTAACACATCTTAAAACAGCATAGAATTGGACACATACATAACATAGCGCTGAGTATAACAAGACCAAGCTAATGGATGAGGTCTTGGTAGACTGACCTCTAACCATTGTTGGCTGTCTTCTCCATCACTTGGGCTGCTCTCGGTGGTGGCAAAATATTGCATACTGTCAAGCTGGCATGTCCATGATGTTTTCTGCTTCAGGGTGTCTCCATACCAGGAGGGATAATGTTGGCACTGCAAGAGCTGAGCTTTTGCTGCAGATACAATGACACATCCCTCTGTCTCTGCTCCTCTAAGAACCATCTGTAAAAACAGGAAGAACAATGCCACTGCTGTATTTTTACTTAAAAGTTTTATAGATTTATTTAGCTCTTGCCACACAAGCAGGATATGGAACAGGCTAAAGAAAATAGCAGTATGTATAAGCTTGGCCTGTTTCAAGCCATAAAAAGTGCCCTGAGTGGACTGGCAAATATTGCCTGTGACAGTTACCTGACAGTTAACCAGCTCAATGAGCCAGTTGTGGTTATAGATGTCTTTGTCCTGACAAGGAGCTTTGCCACAAAGCTGCTCGCTCACTCCAGATTCCTCCTCTGTGAACACCACAAACTTATCGGTCTCATCTATCAGTTTCTGCAGCATGTCCGCCCCTGCAAGAGAAGCATGAAGAATTCATGTAGACATCTTCAGAATAGTTTTCTGTGAAAAAAAGCTGCATAGCTGACATAAGCATGGACAACTTGCGCAACTATTAGCAAGAGCAACACTGTACAAGTGGCTGTACAACTTTCCGTAAACAGCTCATATCTATACTACATATCACATAAACCCTGAACTGTATTTGTATAGTGCTCACATTAAAAACAATGGAAGATCCTGGATTGATGATCTCAGCCACTTCCTAGTCTCTGCAGACATCACTGCAGCAAGTGCAGGATTTGATCTTAATGAGTATCTTTATAATTTGTTTAGTTTATTTATAATTTGTTTAGTTTATTTCATGCATTATATCCATATGCACTGAAAAGTGTCTTTTTTAACATACTTGATTACATTACTTCTATTTTATCACATAACCAGCTTGTCTAACAATACAAATTTCCCCCCAATACTTTCACTTCATGAGCCTATTTGTACCATTTTATTTTGTTCCCATCAACTAATCTGATTTAATCTTATTGATTGGTTTGCATTGGTGGTAGTTGCTTGTCCTTACTATTTAATGTATAATTAATTATTTCTAAGACACCCAGGATAAAATCACTATAAAAACAAATGTGAAAAAAAAAAATGCCTCCTGTGTTACCAAACACTAATAACAAAACTAGCAAACGGATGTATGTTTGGAGGTTTACAAAATATGATCTAATTTTGGACTACCAAATAAACAGCAGAAACATGTAAGCTTCTCACACCTCCTGACGGTGACCTTTCTGTTCTTCCCGTGACAACAGGTGCGGTGACCTTTTTTGTACTGGGGAAGTTGCGCACGGAGCCACGCTTTGGTTTTTTGGCTTGAATTTGAGTGTCAATCTTAAGCCCTTTCAGTGCCTCTGTAGACAGATTGCGTTTCAGCACAGCTGCTTTCTTGTAGCCATCATACAGGCCAAACGCAATGTCTCGGTTTAGTGTTGTCCAAGAGGCCCGTAGATCCACCAGATGCAAGCGATGGGTATAGGTGGCATTTTCTTCATCTGTGGCAGAGAGTTCCTGTAATGGGAGGACCATTCCAAATTGGGTGAGAACATGCAACACAAATAATAAAAAAAATGAATAACATTAAATTTAGCTTTTTGTTTGTCTTACCTGTCTGTCATAGCTCAGTGAGGAAAGGCTAAGGAGATGTGTTTTCTGAACTTGGCAGTCCAGCTGGTGGTCAGCATTCTCATCACAGGTTGAAGCCATGAGGTGTACAGTCACCACATTTAACTTGCTGGTCATCTGAGGCACGTTCCACTCAGATATAAGACGGCGCATCACAGTCCCAGCTACCAGAACATAAGAAACAGTCAGTGAGTCAGGAAACATACATGAACATCACACATAAACATCTGAGGTTAATTATGTATAATGGCTGCCACATGCCAACAAAATAAATATATTTTAATAATACATATGAACTTTTGTCATCCATCTAAAATACTGTGTTATGTAATGTTCTCTAAGAAATTAGGGAGTCAAAATTAATATCACAAGGAACCAACGCTCCCTGGGGGGTATGTTAAGGCCCACATAGTCAAAGTAATGTACATATCTTTGAAAATATGCCTACATTATCTTCTTTTATATTACCTTGTGGAATAAGCCTTTGCACACCACGGGTAAATATTTCTCCTTGACTGCATTCAACTTGGATCCCCCTTTGCTGTGCAAACGATGCCCAGTAGTGAATCTAAAAGTGAAGCGGATTAGTAACACAGGAAAAGTCAGAAAAAAGTTTAGTAATCATTGGAAATATCAGCCACAAGGGACAAGTTCACCTGCAACTGTGGAAACAAGGCTGTGTAAGATAGCTGCTTGTAATGCTGCCCGAGCTTCTTCTTGCCTGGCTTCAAGTTGTGAAAGAGCTTCCCTCGGCAGATAGGTCGTGTAACACTGCTCCACGTAGCCCAAAAATTCTGCATCCAGCGCAAGGTGCTGCTATATAGCAAGATACGTGGCTGAGAGGCTTCTGTATAGGAGATAAAGAATGCTCACTGACACACACACTACCACAACAAGAGGACATAGTCTTAAATTAGAGGGGCAAAGGCTTAAAAATAATTTCAGGAGGTATTACTTTGCATAGAGGATAGTGGCCGCATGGAATAGCCTTCCAGCTGAAGTGGTAGAGGTTAATACAGTGAGGGAGTTTAAGCATGCGTGGGATAGGCATAAGGCTATCCTAACTATAAGATAAGGCTAGGGACTAATTAAAAGTATTTAAAATAAATTGGGCAGACTAGATGGGCCAAATGTTTCTTATCTCCCATCTCATTCTATGTTTCTATCAAGGTCTAGTTACCAGTGGGGTACCTCAGGGATCTGTACATGGATCCATTCTCTTCAATATTTTTATTAGTGATATTGCAGACGGTCTTGATGGTAAGGTATGTCTTTTTGCTGATGATATTAAAATTTTCAACAGGGTTGATGTTCCAGGAGGCATAAGCCAAATGGCAAATGATTTAGGTAAATTAGAAAAATGGTCAGAGTTGTGGCAACTGAAATTTAATGTGGATAAGTGCAAGATAATGCATCTGGGGCATAAAAACCCAAGGGCAGAGTACAGAATATTTGATAGAGTCCTAACCTCAACAATTGAGGAAAGGAATTTAGGGGTGATTATTTCTGATGACTTAAAGGTAGGCAGACAATGTAATAGAGCAGCAGGAAATGCTAGCAGAATGCTTGGTTGTATAGGGAGAGGTATTAGCAGTAGAAAGAGGGAAGTGTCCATGCTACTGTAGAGAGCACTGATGAGACCTTACTTGGAATGTTGTACGCAGTACAGGAGACCGTATCTCCAGAAGAATATTGATACTTTGGAAAGAGTTCAGAGAAGGGCTACTAAACTGGTTCATGGATTACAGGATAAAACTAAACTATATATATATATATATATACACACACATAAAATTAAAGTTCAATTCTACAATGTCTCTTTGTTGAGCAATGGTTTCACGTAACATACACAGTTCCTAAATTACAATTGAAATATGAAATAACAAGAAGAGACAATACATTTATTGCTCACGTACCACCATGTGACTGGGTTAGGTCCATCTTGATGGAGAGATTAAGGTTCTCGGAACGGAAGGCACAGTAAGAGTCATGTGGTTGGATGGATGAGAATTCCGGTAGGAAGTCTGGGGAACGAAGTGCTACATTATGATGGTCATGAGGGTTTCCATGGCACAGCCACTGAAGGTCAAATATCATGCAGAGATCCAGTAAATGAAGAAAGCAACAGTCATCATACCTGCAAAGAAACAAAAAAAAAAACAGGATTTTTTTAGGAAGTGGATCACAATAGGACATAAGACCTTTTCCTGTGTAACTTGAAATTGCTTTTGTGCAGTACATATAAAATACAATAAAAACTGCTGACACTTTTACAAAATATAACATGTCAACTATATCTAATTCGAAGAATAACATGGAGTCGACACATAGAAAAACAAATTCATGGAAGATGCAACTTTCCACTGCCTATATAATCAGCTATATGCTATTAAAGCAGAACTGCCACATCTCTAGAAAGTGCACTATAGAATAACAAATTGAATGTCACCAATAACTGATGTAATAACCTTGCTCTGCTTTCTCATGAATGTATATTAAAGACGTAGCAATTGTTTGTTAAACCACTGTTTATGTTTCTCCTCCTCCTTCCATGCTCTGTCTGTGCTGACTTACAGATACAAATGGAAGTAAATATAACGATGACTGACAATGAGTCAAGATAAAAGTTTAAGGATAGAGGGGATGTCTACATTTCATTTTATTTTCCAGACATATACTTGATAAATCTAGAGGAAAAGTAAACAATATACTAAAAATCCTGAGAAGTTATGCTTCCCTTTCATATAGAAACATAGAATGTGACGGCAGATAAGAACCATTCAGCCCATTTAGTCTGCCCAATATTTCAAAATACTTTGAATTAGTCCCTAGCCTTATCTTATAGTTAGGATAGCCTTATGCCTATCCCACGCATGCTTAAACTCCCTCACTCACTGTGTTGACAGAGTACAATCAAAATGTTCTATTCAACTTAGGCAAACCATAAGCCTAGACTCATGCAAAGAAAATATAAAAGATCTGTTGTATTTGTTATTCACCAAATTTAAAAAATGATGTATACAAAGGTTTTGCTTTTTCTTCAACAACAAAGGAATTAAACGAACAGGGCACCTTTGTTTTATCACATGGCTACATACCAGAATCAAAATTCGCCAAGGACGAATTATAAAATGTAATAAAATTGATATGATTCAAGAATAATGTCTGTACAGGGCTTACAGATGAATTTCTTAAAAGCTACATTAATAATTATGTTTAGTAGGGTAAGTCTCCACGCTCCATGTGGCGCGAGCCAAGACCCGGAAGTGCACGCTCCATTACGGACAGAGAGAAACGCTGAGGCTGACAGGACAAGAGAACCGAGAAATACATGGACTGCATCCTGTATTAGCCGACAGCAGGCCTTTTTTGTTCAGGAGTCTGCCTTCGTTGACATTGAATTGCTTTTAATATTTGTTGTATTAAATAAAGGTTTCAAGAAAGATTTTTCAGCTGGTTGTGAGTCTGTACTCAAATACTACTGGATCCCATGTACTCAGGGGACTCCCTGGTCACTACAGTTTTGTGTATAATCCAACTACTCTGTACTTGTGAGTTTAACCATTTAGATTGTCAGTCTTTTTTTTTCTGTTTTACTTACAGTGTTGCACTAGGACTGTTTTTATGTTCTTTATTTATAGAACCTTTGGTCCAACATAAGAATTAATGCAAGTATATCTGTTTTTGCTTCTTTATTGCTACAAAATCACTTTTACATATGTGTTGTGATTTTAGCACATGAATTCAATTTTGGCATTCTGTAAGTTTATTAGTGTAAAAGTTACACTTTTGGCAGACTGTCACTTTTTCAATGTATTTTTATAGTAATAATTTGCGCACCCACGTATTGGTATTTACTAGAAGGGTAAGTATCACAACTATTTTAAACAGGTCCACTTTGTCACCGTTCCCCCCCCCCCCCTTTTTTAAATCTGTAGCTGTGCTTCCGCTTACTAACTTGGAGGCTGTCCGGACATTAACATCCATGTCTCCTTTGAAGATGAATTGCCCAGGATTCCAGGCAAACTTGAGGCGGTTCCATTCCCAGTGCATGTTCTCCGTCGTATTATATGGATCCTATGAGAGGAATAGATCAGACAGATAAACACAACCATAACGTTGGGCCTATCTCATAATATAATGATCCATCTTATAATGTAAACTTGTGGCTTAATGATGTATGTTGGACATCTTCTATTTGATTACGTAGTATTACCTCAGTAGCCAGCTGATGTAGATTAGCCTGTTCAATGTCCATGCTGAAGTGTCCATGAAGGAGCAATCGGCTCTTATCCCACCAAGGCAGAGGAGCACTAGGGTCTACGGAAGGCTTGGAGAGGAGGTCAACATATTGCCCCACCAAAGTCCAGGCAGGGTCCCAGCATGGACCCCAAACTATAGTATACAGCTGAATCTCGGCTGCAACCAACAAACACAGATGTAACTATCCCATCAAAAAGAACTTCTTCATTCTGATTTATTATTCAGATAATTCTAGAGAAACTTGAGAAAATGTAATATTATTTCCCTTTGATGCATTAAACTTACTTATAATCTCCCACCCGATTAACTGGTTCATTTCCTTAAATGACTGCTGTGAATTATTTTTTAATTTGCCATTTCTTTTAATTAAAATAACTAATTTCAACTGCAAGGTATCCAAACCCCACACAGATGTAATTTGATTTTTATTGCTGATCTTGTCACATACACACACAAGCAGTAAAAGTTCATCTGGAGGCGCTACGAACCTGTAACAGACCACTAATTGGTCTAGGACTTAGATGTCCTGCTTTCAAATTGCTTTGTCTAATCTTATTTGAAGCATTAATGGCAAGATGAAACATTCTGGTGTACCTAATAAAGAAATGAATGGCACAATCTAGGGAAAAAAAGCTTTCTTTCTGTAAAAGAGCCAATTTTACATAAAATGAAGCAGACCCCTAATGATGGTCTGTAAATATCCAATTAACAATAAGATATTGGATTCAGAAGGTGGTGGATAAAATATATGAAATCCTGTTATTGAAATGGATCAACAAATCTACAGATAAACAACAGACAAATATTTGTGTTAGAGTGCATTTAGAAGTTATTAACAGGTATCTGCTCTCTTACTGTAATGAAGTGGACCATAGACATCCCACTACCGATAAATGGATTTTTATAACAATTTGCTACAAAGAATTATGAGCACTGTAGTCTAATATACACAACTACCCACATTCTAACATTGATGAAATCTAAAGAACTTTTGTTGCCTGTCACATTTTTCTAACAAATCATGGCTCACTTCCACCAACAAGGACCTCTGTAACGATTGTTTAGCTAGACATTTTTGGTACTGCGATTATTCACTTGTGGTCACTTACAATGAAAGTCATGGAAGAACTTTAGAGGTGGCATGTTCCTTTCTACAATTGCATCCCCCCACGGCATGCCTAGTTGTATGACTTGTTTCCGGCGTGCACTTGCTTGCCCACTTTGTTCAGCCCCAAGAAGTCTTCCAGAAAGGTGCCAGTCCCGAATTTCAAAAAGATAGCGGGGATAATCACGAATTCGCACTGAAATTCAAGAAATAGGGTAAAATTAAAGATAGCAAACACTTAATGTAAGCATTGTATTAGAAAATTTAATCTTCATCAAAACCTTTACATTTAGCTCATAATATTTATACAACAATAACATGTGGGGTCTACATTTTGGGCACTCTTGATATAGTAAATAGATCACTCTGTCTGAAACTCTTCATTTTTTTCATCTTATTAATACCTGTGCTCATTTTGTCTAGCATGCCATGTAAACATTAATTGGAATACAAGAACAGACAAATGAATATTGGCTGGAACTGAATAAATGGTGTCATCAAGAAAACAAATACACAGATTTCTCTATAAAAAGATTAAGATGGTGAAATTATTTATAATTTAAAATAGTCTATAGTAAGGCAGTCCTCTATGCTTACTAGTTGAACCGTGCTCTTAGTAACTATTATACGCCATATGAAATTCTATCTATTTCCATTAGTGATATCCCTCAATGAAGATATAATCATATAGTAAAGGGACATGCTGGTGTTGATCCATGCTTTTTTAAAATGCATTATCTGCATAAACAATATATGGAAAAATAACTAAAATCATTAAGAAAATTACTCATAATTGAAACTCATACTTTATGGTCTCATATTTTCTATGGAAGTGCTAAGATTATGTAAACTTTTATCCCACTTAGTGCCGGGCAGCCATAGTCAATTTTATGATTGCAACAAGCTTGCATACACAATAGGGAAGGTTCTCTCACCTTCCCAATACAAACATACAGCTATGTTCGCTGAACTTAGCTGAAAATAAGCTGAGAGGATCCACAAGATGTCTGCTATCAGTTTAAAGTGAACTTCCAGTCATTCTGTGTGATGCTTGGACCTGTGCTTTGGGTATAAGATACTACTCTCAAAATTATCACCAGGACAGGGATTATATAATGATATTAGTCATCATAGACCAGAATGAGATGTTCTCAACTGGTCTGCAGGCAGACCACTTAACTTTGCACCCATGGACACGTTCAAAGTTTTTTTAAATTTAAATTTTTATTATTTACATTTTTGACATAGCAGGGAATTCCTGGAATGAACTGTCAGCTTTCTACTGTAGAAAGTAATTACTGAACAAAAACAAGTTGTGCTGAGCAGTTTCTTAGTATAAAAGAGCTACTACATGTAATGACATACAGCTGTATTACTGGAACTAAGGAGAAAGGTTAGGGCAGGATAGGCAACCTTCGGCACTCCAGATGTTTTGGACTACATCTCCCATAATCCTCTTACAGCCATAATGCTGGCAAAGTATCATGGAACATGTAGTCCACAACATCTGGAGTGCCGAAGATAGCCTATCCGTGGGTTAGGGTAAAAATACAAGGAGTGAGCTTATGGAGCAGAACTATGTATGTATTTATTTATTTTTAACTAAAGAAATGTATTACAAACCCAGACCCCACCATAACCAAGTGTGATCTAACTTCACGTAACACAATGGATGCCTGGAATAACTCTACATGTGGAATTATGCAATTGCTCACCGTAAAAGGTTTTCAAAGAGCACTTCATCATGCGACACCACTGTATAACTAGAGGTAAACCTTCAGAGGGAAAAGGGCTAATGCTGTCAATGTCCCTCATGTTCTCTACCACCTTTTCTGGCCCGTGAAGTGATTCGTCTGCCAATGCTACCACTTCAAGGTCAGACATAGTCCAGGTCAGCAGTGACTTTCTCATTGGAGTGTTACTATACAAACGCTTTGAGCGCTGAATATATATCTCTATGTTCTTCTTCTCAAGGGACGCATACAACTCCTCGATCTTCCTCGCAGGAAGCAGCTCTCCATGCTGCTTGCGCAGAGCAGCAACTTTATCGTCCAGGAGTCGCAACCTCTTGGCACTCTCCTTGCTCTCGTCTTTCATCAACTCATAGTTGTCTCTCAATTTAACCTCAAACACATCGTCCAGGAATGCAAAAGAAAACTGCTTGACCCTCAGCACCAGGTCTGGTGGGAGAGGCTCAGGTTCAGTTCGTTGTGTGCGATGAAGACCTTTCAACCACTTTTGCACCCCAATGGCTTTATCAAGGATGCAGGAGAAGTCATATCTATGAGGGAACTCCATGGACATGCTGCTAAGAGAAAGAACCCAAGCTCGGTTCCTCTCGGTGAGCAGTGAGGGAAAGTGGCTGCGGTGCAACAACATATCTTCCAGTTCAGGTAGTCTTTGTGCATCAATATCTTTAAACAGAAAGATATTGTGTCCATCAACATTGACAGTCACCTCTGGGGAACGCACCTGAAGGGAACCACCATTCTGGTTCAACCAGATGCTCTGACCAGTGAACAGAAAGCAGTTTGTTTGTGAAACATCAATCTCCAATTTCACAGAATTAATTTCCAGTGTGATCTGCAGTCCTTTTCTGTGACAACCAGGCTCAGTGCCTGGACTTCTAGTAACAGAATTTGGTGACATAGGAGGAAAACTGTCTTTGCCCTCAGTGGTTGATGCGGAGGGCTGGGCCTCTCTGTTCAATGTTGTAAGCAGCAGATCCCTGCACTGCAGGGTAGACAAAGTGTGCTGGTACAAGTACATATGATCACAGGGACTCCAGTGCAGAAACAGTTCATTGTCACATTGAACCTGTATATCGAAAAATACCAATTTTTACATATTCAACAAATGGAGCTTTGCATTTTAACATCTAACCAACTTACATTTTTGTGTCTTCTAAACTACAAATAAATGTGATATCTGTCAAAACATTACACTATGCAAACTTAACATGTAATCTTGCAGTGATTTCATGTGATTCTAATCAATAACCAGTAACAGAAGCATGTAATGAATAAATATTTCCCATTAGAAGTAGGTCATGAATTGTTTTAATATTAACAGTCAAAAAATTAAGCTGTTATATATTAATCCTTACCCAAAATAAACAACAACAAAAAAAGAGAATCAGTGTCAACATTTTAGTGGCACAATACCGCCTTAGCTATGTAGATTTATTACATAATAGCATTTTAGTGGATGGCAAGAATCTCGTAGCCAGAATCTTGCTATTAGTTATACTTTATTTATTTATTATTATTTACATCCAGTGGATTCTGCACCACATGGCATTCAGCGCAATTCTCCTAAGGTCGCACGATTCTCTGTGTTTGGTTTGTAAATGCGTATATGCGCTGCAGAATATGTTGGCACTATATAAATGCTAATAATGCACACATCACATCACCTCACTGGAAGATGATAAACAATGAAGACACTAAGCTCCTGGACCCATGTAGCAGAATGAAGTGTATTCTTGGCTTCCCTTTGCTCCAAATTACACTCCATAAAAATTATATAACAGTGATACTGGTGTAAATGAATTAAAATGTGATAATTCAGAGGTTACTGCCAGGAATTAGCCAGGCAATTTAAAATTTTACTTTGGTTCCCAGCTCTGTTATCTTGGTATGCAAATACAGGAATGCATTGTTAGGCACTATACTAACAGCACAAAAGTCATAACCCTTAGTTTCTCTTTGTTAAGCTAAACATACATTTTAACAAGATACTACTTTGACAGGGCCACAGACGTGTCTTCACAACCTTTGAATCAGAGCTCACTGCTTACAAGAAATTGTGATACCATCATTAGTTAAGTAGGTAAAAGCCGTAAAGCCTCACTGTTAATTACATTTACATCTATGCTAGTAGTAGATGCTTTATATCAGTATCAATGCATGAAAAGGAGATTTGGGCCTGCATTCTACGTAATGGATCAATACAGATATCACCTGATTTTTTACTAGTTTCCAGTAGATCTATGGCTAACACTGTACCTGTGTGGATCGTAATTTGATAAATCACACTGTAAAGTAGAAGAGTAGATGCCTTTTACACTGCTGCTCCTATACATTGACCTATGTATTAACAAGCATGTCCGATGCCATTGCTAGTTTTCAGTGGATTTCTAAACTAACAGAGTAAAAGTTGAATATTTTAGAGTTATCAGTGTTTTTTGTAGATTAGGATAACTTGATTGTAGTTAGAACATCCTGTATTATTAGAACATGTGATTAAAAATAATATAAATAATATATATATATATATATATATATATATATATATATATATATATTTATTTATTTCAAAACAGAGTTTAAAGAAATAAAAAACTACAATGTAGTGTTTTAAATAGCATAACATATATATTCTAGTATGTAAAAACTGCTATTATTCATTATTATTCACTAAGTTACAAACACTCAGAGATATTATGATGCTTGGTTTTAAGCATCCACATTAAAGACGGGTAGTGTGACACAACCAGGAAATTCTAGCAATCATACCTCTAAAGAATGGATAGTAGTGAAGTATGTGGAGGACAGGGTGGAAAAGTAGAGCAGTGGTTCAGGAATGTCTACAGACTTGCAGCAAAGTTCCATCTTCTCAGTGACAGATTTCAGTAGAGACAAGGCAAAGCCGTGCAGCCTTACATTGCAGCTTTCAGCACTTCCCTGTACAGTAAAAAGGTCTATTCTGACTTGTGAAGCACCTGCAATGAAGGAGACAATGGTGTTCTGTTTAAAACGCATCCCAAACAGATAGGATAGTGTTTTCACGAACATGGCATTGAATCTAAACCTCTTAATGTGGTTAGTTTCACTAAGGTGCTGGCATGCAAAAGAGAACAGTTTGACTTCAGAAGCAAAGGATGCAAAGTCACTTTAAATGTCAAATGTCTGGAGGTTAAATGAGTTCCTTCTCACGTACAGGTGACTTATGTACTTACCCACCATGGTGGACAATGTAAACAGGTTCACTTCCTCCACACGGACATCCACTCTCCAAAGGACTGCCAGTTTGCTGCATGGTTCCCCAAATGGAGAGGTTACAGCGAGTGCATTCTGTGATGATGGAACTGGATATTTTGGCTGGTTAGGGAGCAGGCTTAGTACGCGGGAGAGACATTCCACGCAGGTATCTGAGAACTCTACCTGCAGACCCTGTACAGTAGACTCTATGAAGAGTGTGTCTGCCTGCATAATGCCTCCACCCAGAGATTTATTGTAGCTGCCCTGGAAAACACATATAGATCTAATCAAGCCTCGGCTGGATGAGCATGTGAATATTTTAAGTCCAACAATAGCTATAGATATTACAAAAAAATATATATAATTACACAGAATTTGCTTCAAATGAAAATGAGTGTGCCAGTTTTAAAGGTGCATAACAACAAAACTAATCACACATTTATAAGCCATTACTGGGTAGATTGACTTTTCAGCCCAGGTGCTGAATTGTAGTGGATTGAAATGAGAAGTGCAACATTTAGGCCAAATTAACAAGATGCGACTACAGCAGAATTGAAGCTTTTTAAGTTTTTTTTTTCCAAATCAGCTATTTTAGCCAAAATTTTCAATATCAATCCACTACGATCTAGTGTTTAGTTAAATCACCCTTATATTGGACATCAAATAGATTGAGGACTTGAATAAAAAATTTTTTTTAATATACAGAACGTAACAAAAAAGAAGCACAATGCTACTTCTGTCTTCATTTTAAAGAGATTCAATAGTGTAAGGAATACAAGCTGCGCGGCAAGCGTCATGAGAGCATTAAGCCCTCTCCATAGGAAAGCATTGCTGCAATGCTTTCCTAAGGGAATTTAACGGACGCTGGATGTCCTCTTGCAGTTGACCAAAAGTCGCCTAGCAAGCAGAAGAGCCTCTAGTGTCTGTCTGACTGACAGCCGCTAGAAGGAGTCTTAGTCCTGCAAAGTAATCATTGCAGTTTATCTAAAACTGCAATGTAAAACATTGCAGGATTAATGGGGAAAGGGACAGTGCACCCAGACCACTTCAATGAGCTGAAGTGATCTGGTTGCCTATAGTGTCCCTATAACTAAAAGCTCAGTAAGCCCCACCTAAAGGAAAAATCCACTGGACACAGTTTGCAAAATGAAGTAACTGCTTTACAAAAATGGAAAAGAATGAGCCGCCTAGTGAGTATTGCACCTGTCAAAACACTCAGCATTTGTGTTCTTCTCATTTCTTACCTGTAAACTGAAGGAATCAAGAACAAAAGCCTCTCCCCAAACGTGCGTACTTGGTAGATGGAGAGCTTGCTGGATATGGGAGTCCTTTCCCACCCTCCAGCACAGATTGCTCACAGAGAGAACAGCCCTTTGATGCAGATTCTGGGTACGTAAGTGTTTGAACTCTGAAGAAGAGAAACAGACATCAAACAAATGATCAGAACAGAATTTCTCACCTATTTTACCTAATTACCATTAGTAACAGATGCATCTCTATGGGTAATGATCAGCACCTCCATGCAATGTGTGGAGATGCTGAAGGCAGGTGCTGCACACGGTGTAGCAGTGGACTCTGGTGGCAATCTAAGTGACTGCACCTAGAGGTGTCACTAGGCAGCAATATAAGCACGGCTTTTTCTCTGCTCAGAGCATGAACTAATATTAGTATGCCGCCGAGTACCAGGAAGAGCTAAATGTTTAATCAAGTCAATGCCACATGGTAAAAAAAAACAACCAAAAAAAACATTGTGGTGCATAGGATAAATGTGAATATTAATGCTTAATAATAAAATTTAAAAAATAATACAGCACAAGTAAACGTATCTAAATCTAATATTTCTAATCACCAAGGATTTCCAGGAACATAACACAACATAACAAGCATTACATTTAATTTTATAAACTTGTCAAAACATGAGGGAAAAAATTAGAACATAAATACGACTCCACTTACTATGAACTGAGAGTATTTTTTATCACACTAGACAAAACAGGGTACTAAGGCATTCAGCCATAACCTGCCTGTGATCAATTTCACTGCCTGGCAATTTGACTCCAATTGGAATTTGACTTGGCAGGTAAACACATAGAAACAGACAGATACTTCCTATCAAGTCTGGCTGCTCAGCCTACATTTATTTTATTGCATGTATTGCCTAGGTACCACACTAGGTTATGGAATTTCCACTAGAGTTTAAACCTCAATAAGTTCACCTTTACCAACTCAGTCTAATATTATTGGACAAACCACACACAACCCTAAAAAAAATAACAGATTCCTTGGATACAGATAATCGAGGTCAGGATGGAATGATCATAAAAGCGCTATTTTCAAAAGATAAAACATGTTTAGTAAGCAGTATTAGAACATATCTGGGTGTTTGGTCCAGAGTTGGCACAATGTAAGAAGACTTCCACATCCAGCAATGAGAGCAAGTATGCAAGAACAAGTGGTAAAATAAAAAATATATAAAGCTTGCATCTTACCTAGTGAAATAGATGAAAATCCCACAGCAAAAGGTTGTGCCTCTCCCAGCTGGACAGACACATTGACATTACAGATGGATGAGTTGAATATTACAGGGGCCAAAATCACAGGAAATGGTCTGCAGAGAAATAAAAGAACCTACTGTGAACAGGGAATGATATTTCCAATAAGACACATTACTTTATATACGAGACAGGGTGAGTGAACCTCATTTAAAGGATTAAACACAATGACAAATTCACTTAGAGATAATTACACCACTGGATCACCTATGTTGTGTTACATTGAGACTTCTTTATATGCAACCCCACAGAGTTAGAGCAATAAACAATTTCTAATAGTCATTTTGAATCATTATAGGGGTGCCCTAAAGGGAGCTTATCATAATGGTTATGATGCAAATGGATTGAGTGCAGTCCCTCTGGTTTTAGTAAAGCGGTTTTCAAGCAGTGCAATAACGCGCCTCACCTGGCAACCAAAGTACATCCTCCCTGCAGCCAGCGAGATGATGAGGATTGTGGCTGTGAGCACAGAGGTAAGTCCCCCCACCCACAAGTACTCATAGCCTACCAACGTTGCTTATATTTGGAGGGATATATACTGGGGGGTGGATTTGAAATTGGTCAGAAAAGATTTCTCTGCACCATTACTAAAGCCACTGAAATGGTACTTAGAGTGCCATTTTAAGCTGTTCAACAATATAAATTTGGCTGATTTGAATAAGCAGGGACACTACAATTATGCCACAGTAACCTGAAAATTACTGAAAACCTTTTAAACCATCAATATATAAATCTGCCACTAGTTGGATTACATTTACAAAAGACTGAATAACTTTCAAGGGGCACTCTAAGTACCTCAATCACTACAGCTCACTGATGTGGCTTAAGTGCAACAGCTCTGTGAGTATTGTCAAAAAAACAAACAAAAAGAAGCTGTTCGCTAAAATATACGCCACAAGATTAGGGGCTATAATCCCACACATAATACACACTGATCAAGTGGGCTTTGTAAGGGGGAGGCAGGGGGCAGACAATACGCGGAAAGTTATAAACCTGCTGCATAAGCTCCAGAAGCGAGATAAAGGGGGAATATTCCTGTCACTGGATGCCGAAAAGGCCTTTGACAGGCTGCACTGGGGCTTTCTCAGGGCAGTTCTGTCAAAATTCGGGATGCCCGACCAATTTATTGCGGCGGTGGAAGCACTGTACAGTGAGCCCGAAGCACGAGTATTGAACTCGGGGTTCCTCTCGGCACCGTTTAGACTGTCAAACGGTACTCGACAGGGATGCCCCTTGTCACCATTGTTATACATCATGGCCCTAGAACCACTAGCTACCCGAGTGAGAAACAACACGAGCATCCACGGGGTGGAGATGGGGAAACGGGAATACAAAGCGGGACTGTTCGCAGATGACGTTATGTTGACAATCACACAACCACAGATCTCACTGCCAAACCTTATAGAGGAAATTAGGGACTATGGAGCCCAGTCATACTACAGATTGAACGTCACTAAAACACAGGCCATGGGGATCGGGATACCACAAGCCACGGTACACGCCTTAAAGGAAACCTTCCATTTTGACTGGAGAGACGACTACCTCACCTTCCTAGGGTTAAAAATCCCCAAACACCCAGGCAAACTCCTAGAACTGAACTATAGCAGACTGCTGACGGAGATGAGTGACACGCTGAAAACATGGGAAAACAAATACCTGTCGTGGGTAGGTAGACTGACAGCCTTTAAAATGATACTATTGCCCAAATTCCTGTACCTGACAAGGACACTACAAATATTCCTCCCAAACACATATTTGAACAAATTACAACGCACAATCACACGCTTTATATGGGCAGGTAAAAAGATCCGAGTAGCATCGGCAACACTAAACAGACCCCTGACTACGGGAGGACTGGGCATGCCAGATGTGCGAGTTTATTACAAAGCAACACTCATGTCAACTTGCCTCCTCTTACACGCAGACGGGGACAAGCCTCAATGGGCCGAGATGGAGGCGATAGAAATGGGACAGAGTAACTTAAAATATCTGTTTTGGGTACCCCACAAATTGAGACCCAGCCCCCACAAGATGCTACCCACCACCTTACTCTTATTAGATACATGGGACTCCACAATGAAAACCCTGGGCCAAACACTGCACTGGGGAATGTCGACCCCATTACAGAGCCTGCACATAGCAAACCCCACGCTGGATTACAGACCATGGATCCAAAAGGGATGCACACTGATTAAACATCTCTATCACGAGGGCAAACTAGAACAATACCCAACCCTAAGACAAAAATATTTGCTACCTAGCAATACGATGTTCTCATACCTACAAATAAAATCACTAATAATAAAAGACACAAATATTGCAGCCCCGGCACCCCTAGCATGTGTTCACAGCATATGTGAAAAAGGGAAGGTACCACACAAAACCATATCATATCTATACGCCTTACTAAACGACAATCCCACGATTCGAAAAGCTGACACCTTCAGAGCACAATGGCAAGCAGAGCTAAACACCCAGTTTACAGATACTCAATGGCAAGAAGCCTTCACAGCCCATAGGGGGAGATCCAGGTGCACATCACATCTGGAGCTCATGAGGAAATTGCAATATAGGTGGTACATGGTACCAACACGGTTAGCTGCAATATACCCAAGCGCCTCCGAGGTGTGCTGGAGATGTGGCCAAGAGAGGGGCACGATGCTCCACATATGGTGGACATGCAATCGGATAATACCATATTGGCAAGAGGTAGAGAAGACCATCAAGACAGCATTACACTCTGACATAACCTTGAAACCTGAACACGGTTTACTATTCATGTCACTAGAGACCTACAACAAGCCGCAAGCGGCATTACTGTTCCACATTCTTATTGCAGCGAATACACTGATAGCGAGGGCATGGAAACAAACTGAAAGACCCAGCTTAGAGGAACTACTCAGGCAAATCTCCACCAATTTGCTGTACGAAACGAAGCTCACCACACAATATGGGGCATCTCACCACATACTCCAAGCTAGAGAATGGTGGGAACACACAATAGAAGAAGACACGGAGAGACAGAAACTACAAAACTAAATAAATGACCCACAGCAGGGGAAAGGACGACTGAGAAAGAGGGGAACATATGGGGGAAGAGGGGTGCCACCACTAAAGAGCGAAGGAGGCCGAGGGGAGAGGAAAACACCGGAGGCAGTTTAGCTCCAAGTATATATATTGCTATGTAGTACAGGACCATTTATATTTATATATATGTATATAGTTAGGACAATGCACACAGGGCACCACACCAACAACGACAGAGGGATATACCCAGCAATGCGCTAAAACTAGAGCAAAGAAGCCAGACACACGGGGGCGCAAGGTTGGGATCAAACAGGGGGAATCACCCTCCTCGAGCAATAGTGATGTACCCTACAGCACTGATATTCAACAGACGCACTGAAATAATGCATACTGTAACCCTGTAACCCTTTGAACAAGGGAATATATTCAAGAAATATTGCATGTGATACTTGTGAATTTGTCCAATACCCCTACATCCCTTTCTCTTCTGTATCCCAACAAGAAAATGTTTAATAAACAGACGATTGAAAAAAAAACAAAAAAAAACAAACAAAAAGAACACATCACAACCCCTCTCCCCCAACAAAAAACAGAGCTCTCACAATGTTTACAGTCGACACTTCACCTGCACGCAGTTAATGCAGAATAGATCTACCAATTATAGTTGAGGACTGTTCAGCTCAATTATGTTCCTAAATATCAGTCTCTTTCCTCAACAGTCAAAAAAGAAAAAAAAATCACCTAGAATTTTTGGTTGAGGCTCTTGGTGATCTTTGTAACTGGCGTTCCAGCGCCAGCAAGCTGAACCAATGAGAAAACTCCTGGTGACGATAGTGAATGATGCAAGTGTTAAGCGCTACGGAGCTCTGAATATCAATGGAGTTGACCTGAAGGAAGAGCAAAAATATTATTAAAAAAAACACAAAACAAGAAAACAACAACAAACCAGTTGACAGCATAGCCTTTTAGTTATAAAACATAAATTGAGAGAGGTTGACATTTCTACAGATTTTGTTGTTGCATTTTAATTCTACCACAAACTTTGCTAATATGGATTCTTTAAATTCCAGGCAAAGTCAATCCAGTAAAAGAAGCACTATAGTCCATTCTTTGCCATTAACACCTTCACAATAGATGGTCAAGCAAGTCACTTGAAAAAGGTTAAATATGTACACATTTGCAGCACGTTTTTTTCTACACTTTAACCTCTTTAATGATAAACATACATCTAGTCACAATTCAAAACAGAGGTTTACAGAGCTTTTTACTAAAAAGAGCATTCAAAGTGAATTTCAAATTTAAGACCAGAGAAGCTAAACTGAAAGCAGAACTGACTTTGAGATTTTTCCATTGTAGCTATTTTGACCTTAAATTTGAAATTCATTTTGAATTGAACCTCTATTCTCACTTTTGTGAATAACCCAGTTAGTACTGAAAGCCTTAAGACATTTAGAAATTAAATTCTCAAATCTAGCCAATTTCTACCCAGTGGGGTAAGGGTAATTAAGCTTTAATGAAATAAAATAAAAAGCTTATTGGGGAACTGTAACTTCTTTGGAAATCATGTATTAAGTATTTTTATTATGGGATTTTCTTACAGTGCATTGGAGGAGGGGAAACAAACATTTTTCTGTTTTTTTTTCTCCTCTGCACAATATGTTCCTTCCTCCATTTAGATATTGGATGCAAATTGTCAGGAGGTTTTAAATCTGATTGACAGGTACTAAGACTTATCTTTTTCATTTTTTAAATAGAAAACAAAGGGCTTACAACAGTGATAGACATGGAGTCATGTTGGAGGTTCTCAGTTCCAGGATGAAGGTAAATAAAACAGTATAGACTTCAACATTTGATTCTAATTTTCACACCCAACAAACACTTGTTAAATATAGGGGATAAATAAACATGATAATATAAATCCTGGAAAGTGATTGTTTCTCTTTAGATAGGCCACATTGTTCATTAGAGCTGTTACTACTCGTCTCTGGATTTATACTAAAAAACAACACAAAAAGGAACAGCACCTTCCAACAGGGTGAAGCCAGTTCCACTTCTAACCAGTATAATATTAAATAATGAAACAAAGAGTGTATACAGCAATGTTTTCATTCATGTGTTTGAGGACAATTTAATAAATGGATTGTTAAGTGTGCTGCAAAGCTTTTTTTTTCCTTCTTTTTTTTATCTGGATTTATATCCTGATGTCTAGACTTAAACCTACACTGCTTCACCTCTACATTGTTGGTACAAATGCAAAATGCTAAACCTTGAAGGCTATCCTGCACTATGCAACTGGTTAAACTCCACGTGTCCCGGCTGGAGCAAATTCCAAATAAAGAAAATTAATTTTTAAATCATCAATGACTTCCATGCAGTCCAATGCAAGCCTTCCTGGTAGTGATCATGCTCTAAAAGACAGTAACTCACATGTACAGCGGCCTTCAAGTGATTCAGGCAGATGATCCTCTGACGGCTTTGAGAAAGCAGGAGACCATCTGAAAAACAAAGATACAGAAATATGCTGTTAGCTTACACAGGCTTTTTTCTTTGACAAAGATGACATTATCTCTGGTTTCAGTGGTCCTATAGAGGTTATTGGTCATTATATCATTGTATCAATGTGGAATCATGCACTAAATTTTAAATTCCTTTCTCATGGTATGTGTTTATAAACATGTCTTTTCCCTGCCACGATGTCCCATTCTTGTATTTAGTTTCACCTTCCACCAGAAGTTCAGCACTCATCTGCGCCAGATCTGATGTCCCAATGAACTTGCGCAAAGGTAGCTGGTCTTCCTCCCGTGTGTATGACAACTGCAACAGTTTCAAAGTCCAGTTAAGGTGCCTGGACAGAAGGAAAGAGTTGAATAAAACTTAATGTGGTTACACAAATTACCAAGGTTTCTATCTCTCATGATAAGTGGTCAATCCCCGCAATTACCTCTGCTGACTGTTCATTGAAAGAACTACAGTGCTATTTTCAAGGCACAGAACCATCTTGCAGGGCAACTTTCCCACCAACTGCAACCACTTTGGAGACGCAGCATTTTCTGTATGTGATAGAAGACAAATTCCTGACTCACATAAAGAAATATTAAAAACATGGCATATTGAATACTTCCTCAGGATCATTGACAGTGTCATTACACCAGCTTAACCCTTAAAAAAAAAAATCTCACGATGGCATAGGTTAGAATGTCCTACTCATTTGGTGACAAATGTTTGTAGAGCTGCTTCTGTTAAAGGAGTAGAGCAGTCCATTTTAGTACAGGGTCTGCATGGACTTTACTGTCAGAAAGCATTATGCCTAGTAAATTAACCCCCAGAGCACATAAAAGTTTTCTTTAATCTGGATTATAAAGATACATTAATCATTATATTGGCTGGTTAGAGCAGTTGTAACATCACTGCCTTAGAACTGGAAACCCAGGTTTAAATCCTGGTCAGATCATCTTAACAGTAAGTGACATCTAATGAGATATATCTGTCTACCTTAAATCGTAAAACCACCTTACCAGTAAGTAACAGCTAATGATGTATACCTGCCTACCATAAATAGTCATAGATTTTAAGATTATTAGTGCAGGGAATATCCCCTTTCTCTAAAGCACTGCGGAATGTGTTGGGGCTATAAAACTGTTAGTAATAATAATGGTTAACCCCCTGAGGGTCACTGAGTTTCTTTTCCTTCTTCACAATCTGATTTCATGACGACAGGAGCTATCTAGTTAATAAAGCTAAAGAAAATGTTATATACATATATATATATATCAATATATATATATATATCATATTTCCATCAATAACGAAGAAAAAAAATTAAACAATGACAAATACTTGAAAAATTTGCCTTGAATATAAACATCATAGTTTAAAATATACAATAGTGTTGACATAAGCAAACTCTGTTAATAATTTGTATAGAATGTCCTTGGACCTAACCTGTGTCTGTCTTTTCCACAGATGAGTTGCTCTCCTCATCACCACTTTGCTGTTCATCAAGTAGCCCCCTTTGAAGTAATTCACTGTGGAACAGACTTTCATGCAGCTCAGCGTGAAGGCTACGCACTCTCAGACTGACAGCTTGAAGGCATCTTTCATGGATACTGCACTCCAGAGTAACAGCCAACGAGAGTTCTGCAAGACATGCTTCATCCTAGCACAAGACAAACAAGGAATCGAATTATAAGCATTTGGAATAAAACATAGAACTGACTATTTTTAGTATCTAACTATGTAAAAAAATGCAAGAAATTCTCGGCTATAATTCAGTAAGTAGGAATCAGAGACAACATTGTTACAGTCTCAAAAAATAGTACACGAGTTTCAGAGCACACAGGCCAACATTATAAATGGCCAAATGTGCTCTCACGACCTACTGATGCTTATTTATGTAAAAAGACCAAAGTATAATATTCAAACCCTATAACACAAAGTTTAAAATGTGCCCTTGAATTTATTGCAGTGAAATAGTGTAATACATAGCAAGCTCTCTGTTTTCATTGGAATGAGGGACGGTGGGATCTGTCGGGCTTGTCAGATCCACTATCAGTGAAATAAGCAGAGCAATAAGACAGGGGCATTAAGCTGTAGCGGTTATAGAACTTTCTCTAAAACTACAATTTTTACATTGCATGATTAAGTGGGAGAGGGACACTGCACCCAGACCACTTCAGTGGGATGAAGTGGTCTGAGTGCCTATAGTGTCACTTTAAAATTAAAACATCAATAAATCGTGTTATCTTCGCAGAGCTTTCTAAACATATTTGAACAAAAAGATACAAAGACATTTTCAGAGGAATGGCGAATATATAGCATACTTTTTGGTATTTTCTGTACCTCTTTTAAATAAAGACATTGTTCTTGGTTTTGGTTTTTTGTGAGAAGGGTGGACCAGTTTGTTTAAAGAGGCTATTAGAAATCTATATCCCATTCTTTCCTTTCAAAATGGCACTCTAAGGAACATATACGCTATCACTTAATATAGTGGTTATGTTACCATGAATCTATGGGCACCAAACCAAAACCTTTGTCAAAATGTTTTGAGTGGTTTAACAAAACAGTACCACCCCCTGCACAGAGAGACCGCTCAACTCCATTTCATTTAATAATAGGGAAATTACACTTCAACATCACTAGCATCAAATTTGTCCAACCTGGTTGACGATGAAAGACTTAGAACTCCAGGCTAACCTGTCTCTAAAGCATTCATCCAATCATATTGAAAAATGCTACTTACAACAACCCTCAGTGACCACATGAACATGTACAAACCTACATGGCTTGATGTATGCACTCTTTGTAAGCAAGAACATTAGATTTCCTTATGAGAAGACTGCCCTTCTATAGATTTTGGAGTGGGTGGTTACCTACACCATGCTGTTGGGATTGCACATGAAAAATTCCCCCCAGCAGTGGGTAGAAATTATATACTGATGGAAAAATGTCAGTGTTTTAAGAACACAAAATGCCATAGAAACCTTACAGGTTTATTTATTAAAGTGAGAATTTAAAGTGAATTTCAAATTTAGGGCCAGAGTGGCCAAACTGAAAGCATTGCTGATGTAGAGAATTTTCCAGTTTGGCTATTTCAAACTTAAATTTGAAATTTACTGCTTATCTCTTAATTATTTCATGTAGCGGTGTGTGGTTTCTATGTATGGCCGCCCAGCACTATTCCTGTAACCTTAAACAGCACAGGGAACTTACAGATGTCTGCAAACATGGCTAAGGCAGCATCTCCAGGGATTAAAGTCACCAGAAGGGAACACTTAAAATGTATGGTGTGAGTGTGAGTTTATATTTTTTATTTATTCTTTATTTTTCATTCCACGGAGTAATAAAAAGAGACACATATCATAATCATCATACGTGCATGCACGGGGTCTCACTTGTTACCAACAATAAGTAATAAGCATGTAGAACATTTTTTATATATTTGAGTTGTAGCGTAAGGAACTGTATGTGAGGGCCATAGTATAGCTTCCCCCCTAGGAGGGTCGAGTAGCTTGTTACGATAGCTCCTAGAAGAAGATGTTACGCCCTGGAGGGAAATTCCTCTCTCCCAGACTTGCCTGTATGAATGGAAGGTACGTTAATAAGTGCCGGGTGAGAGGGGGGTTAGGTTATATTTTATGCCCTAAATTACACCTTAATAAACAGCAACATCCTAGAACATAGAGCAGAGTCCTCTTCCTTGTTGTCACTCACCTGCTGGCTGCTTTTTAATAATTTGCTGGTCAAATGATTAAGACTCAGAGTGCAGTCCAACCTGTAGGATAAAGAAGAAATAAGATAGCTATAGAAATAAAACAGGTTTGTAGTTGGTGCAAAAAAGGGAAATTATAAAACCATACAGGAGATTTACTAAGCAGTAAAATGTTATTCTGCCATGTTATTTTACTAGTCAAGTACCATCTAAAGAAATATTCAATCTATCATGCGAATATGGCTGCCAGATCCACCAGGACTTCTTCTGCACATATAACTTTTACAATTAATAGTAAGAGCATGTAAAGAGTTGTCCTGTTGTATGTAAAATTCATATACTGAAAGGTGGTAAGTAGTTCAGTATAACCTTCCCTGTAATACTTTATGGTAGTAATAAGTATTAGACCAGGTGACTGTCCATGGCAAATATGGGTCTAGAACTCGTGTGTCCCAGGTGTACATGCTTCACTTACAATGTTTATGCAGACACAAAAAACTCATTTATGCTGGTATTTAATGTCTTCAAAGGGAATTCATTCATGTTAACCTTTTTTAGAATTCACAATCTCCAGGATGAAAGAGAAGAAAGAATTAAACAATATAAAATGAATTACCTATTCCCATCGCTGTCCAGGATGAAGTTCGTCCTAGAAACAGTCATGTGCCAAAGGGATTCTGAGTCAGCCACATTGAGAACCATAATATTAACGGAGTCAAGGTGTACAGATAGCAGCTGCAAGAATCCAAAAACAAAAAGCATGACTTTGTTTCACTAAAATGCAAATTCAAAGTGATTTTCACATTTTAGGCCAAAGTAGTGAAACCGGAAGCATAACTGATTTTTCCCAATTTGACTATTCTGGCCTTAAATTGAAATTCACTATGAATTCTCCCTGTAGTGCATAACCTTAAAATAAACATTAGAGACAAAATAAATTAATGTACTTTAATGACAAATATATGAAATAACATGTGTCTCCACATTTAAATGAATGAAAACCACTGGTATATGATTAATGCAAATATAAGTGAGCTAAACCAAATGTAATAGACAGCTGTACAGCCCTACTTAGCTTAGATAAGCAGCACTTGCTAACAGCTAAGGGAAAAGCTCTGCACTCTTGTCTGATGTCCACACAGCATGTGAGGTGTACACTCAAATGTGTCAAGTAAGAAGAAACCTATAAACTGGTTGCTCTCCTTAATCTCTAAGCACTAACATTACAACAATCTATTAGGACAATGCTTAGTTGGATCAGAAAGACACTATTAAAACTTTTCACAGTATTCCACTTCATTTTCATATGTTACATAAAAATAAGCAACTAACACTTACACATGTAAGTATAACGGAAATGCACAAAAGATGTCTCAACTTTGCAGATCTTGGAGTCTTTGGGATGGAGCGAGTACCGTATCTAATACAATGTACATCAAGTGAAGCAAACAACAGTAATGTGTTACCTGAGAAAATATTTTACGAAGTGAGGGGCTGAGAAAAGTCTTCTTATTCTCTCCAGGAACCTCATTTGGAGTACTGGGTGCATGGTGATGAGTGTGTGATGTCCCCTTAAGGTCTGTTCTAACGCGCACCTCCCCAAAGCATATAGCAAAGTATCGACTGAAAATAACAAAGAATAGTTACAGAGATCTCACAAAGAATGAATGCAAGAGACATCAAAGAACAATGAATTGTAATAAAGGAAAAAAACAGGCTAGCATCAAAAGGACCCTGTATTCCTTAAAACATGTGCATAATACTGGAAGCTTCTGTAAGGTGTCAAAATTTAATCTATACGTTATGCAAAATCATAAGCATTGGTGTGGATAAAAAAAAAAAAAAAAAAACTTATGTGAAGATCGCCAATTCAAGAGAGCAGGCATAATGGTCAAAAATACACATTTTCCTTTTATAAAGCACAATGTGTCAGAGTTAAAATGTTTATTGTGTATTTTACTGTACAAGTGCAACACTGTGAGCAATACAAACAGAGACCATGCATATAAATCTTTGACACCGTAAGATATAAAACCCAAGAATAAGAGAACTCAGAGGGAGCACATAAGGGCAGTCCAGTTCCAAAATGAATCATCCGGAAAGATATATGCTAGGGAGGGCTTGTCATAATGGAACCATAAAGATACTCACGGCAACTCATGATTCAATATCTTGCTAGATACCCAGATACTATCAATATCCTGAAACAAGATATGGCAACATCAGTCTTAGCATAATAGATTAGTTATTTGTTCTGTCTCAGACACAAGCAGGTAAATTAACTTCCTGAACAAAAAAAAAAAAAAAATCACACATAATCAGTACTAGATTCATCAATAATAGTTAAATCTTAACTACTTGGCTATACCTCTTCTTTATTATAACAATTTATATTTCCTAAACCATAAATAGTAGGGAGTTGTAAAAGGAATTGTACATTCTAGACCAGGGGTAGGCAACCTTTTAGCAGCACTGTGCCGATATAGGATTGTGATGTCCCGTAGCGTGCCGGTGATGTCCCGTAGGTGTGTATGCTGCCATATTCTGCTTGTGTTATTTTTACTGTAATTGCTTTGTATCGTTGTATTTGTGCGTATATGAGCTATTATATTGTATATGTTCATTAGTAGTTTAAGGTAATGTGTATGATACATATGAATGTGGGCTGCTTGTGGACTTGTGTGTGGATGGATTTGTCACATTGTGTATTTGGTAGTGTGTGTATGTGTTGGGGTGTTTGGGGTATTGCATGTGAGAGGCTGCATGTGGGGTTGTGTGCATGTATGTGGATTGTTAGTGGTGTTGCGTTTGTGGGGATTGTGTGTTGTGTGTGCTGTTCATATTAGTTGTATGAGGGGAGGGTTATTCTGCAGCTCCGTGTATATCTAGCATTGTGGGTGGGTTCCCTGGGTTCCAGTGGGGACCAGGCTGGCCAGGTTCAGGTCAAGGACAGGAGCTGCGATAGCTGTCGAGGGCTGCTCTACTACAGTGTGGATTCCCATTCACAAGTGCTGGAAGGAAGTGATCTGATCATCACTTCCCTTATGTGATGCAATGCATAAATTGAGGATTGTCCTTCACCACCTCTTCGTATTAGCAGATATCTGAAGTTTTATTGGGACTCCTGATAGGCCAGAGTGCGTTTGGCTCTAGCAGCCTTGAGTGCCGTGCAAAGACACCTCGAGTGCCGTGCATGGCACTAGTGCCGTAGGTTGCCTACCCCTGTTCTAGACCAAAACAGAGAAGCCATAAGGGTTGGAAAGGTTTTTCCACTTTTATATTTGTGCAAAAATCGATTGTCAAGTCACCACTACTCACAGTTAGTGAAAAAAAGTCTCTAAACACAGCATTTGTGCGCTCATCAAATACTAGATTTCCTGTAAAAACCCTGTTTGGTAGACTGAATTGATTGGAGCCATTCTGACACACAGTGGACTAATCAGTGGCATCTCACAAAAACATGCTGAAATATTGCATTACCCCTGGATATCATTACATAGACTGCCTTGTAATAATACACAGAAACTCAAAGCACAGGAAACGAAAGGCATTTAAAAATATCCAGACTGCAGCTACAAGGACATGCACTCGTCTACCTAAATGTACAAACAAACAAATAAAATCAGAGTAGTCCTATGTCTTCGAGTCCTTTGAGTTCATAAACAAGAGCAAAAGGGTGCGCACCACAATTTGTTGTTGCTGCCTCCCAAACTTCAAGCTGATGTTCTGAAGCCAGAAAAAGCCCACTGATCCAATCTTCAAATCTGCTCCCAGCCTTTTCTGGCACCAGTTAGTAGCCAGGCGATAAAGCAGCCATCTGGGACAGCCACACACATGAAAAAAAAAAAACAATTACAACAGGTCATCGATGTTATACAATTATATTGCGTTTACATACTTTTTTTGCACACCTTTGCAACAACTGTTAAACAATACTTATTGTTTAAAAAAACAAAACATTTTTTTTTAAATTGCCACCTAGCAAATATAAAATCCACTGCTCAAATAAAATAAATAATTACTTAGTAGAGATACGCTCCAATGAAAACATGCATGAGGCTAATTATGCATTTTCCATTGGAGGTATACACGGTATATACAGCTCCGCAGCGTTTGCCAGTCCTCCCTTTCTAACCCGGCCCAGACTTTCTGTCGCTGTCCAATAACAGACTTTCCAATGCAGCTCAAAGAGAAGTCTTTGCAAGGTGGATTCTCTGGGCAAGTGCTGCTTCTTCAGTTTAGCTCCACTGCACTAAACAAACCAGGAAGTAACAGGTCTGGTTGTCTGATTGACAGCCAGGGAGGTGTAACAAGGTAATTTATAAATGTGCCAAAACCTATTGAAATCTACACTTTTCGTAAAATTTGAAATAAAGCAGTGCACATTCATCACACATAAACACTTCTGCAAGATTAAGTGCTTTAGGGGGTCTGGAGTGTTCTTTTAACAAGAATACACTCACACAGATAATAAGCCATTTTTCTCCCATTGACTTACACTATGATCTAAGGCAGCCTGTTTTATGGCATATCAAAAAAAATAAAAAAATATTATATATATATATATATATATATATATATATATATATATATATATATATATATATATATAGTCTGAAAAGTCTACTACAATTCTAATCCAATTTCTCAAGCATTTACAACTGATTTTCTTAGCACTATGATACATATGCTACGTGTCCTTCTTTGGTGTATATTGTGGTTTTATTGTTTAAAATCTCATAGTTGAGAGTTTTCTATGAGCTCATTATATTTGGCACACTACAGAGCTCCACATCAATACTGCCGGCGTTAATGTTAAATTAAACTGCAGTATATGTGTTTAGGAAGTAGTTTGTATAAATAATTTGTTTTTGTTGATATTATGAGGTCATTTAAAAACGATTGGAAGGATTTGAGAATGTCCAATTGCAGATTACTGCATTACAGAGAGTCAAATTAAAACAAATTATTCTAACGCAGGAAGCAATGTGCCTTGGTTACGTACCGAGCATTAAAAATGCTTATCACATGTACATACATTTAATTTTTGCTTATAAATCAATTTAAAAAAGAAGAGCATTCTAATCCCCTATTATTCAGACTGTAAACACAATATACCGGTATTTGGTTGTGTAGTGACACATAAATTCACTAGGGCCAATGTGATAAGCAGGGAGACTTCCACTGCAGTATTGAGATGTGACAAAATATGTAGGAATTAGCAGGTGTTAAGTATGCGATTTGTCAGAGCAGACTGCTAACGAGGGTGCTGTGATGTGCCAGACTGATTAGTTGTGTAATACTTACTAAAACAAACAATCAAAGCAACCTCAAGCTAAAATCTTCGTTAACATTCCAGCTGCCAGGAAAGTCTGTGTTGACCAGTACAGCTAAATGTTGCCAATAAAAATACTCACCTTGCAATTTAAATAGGCTAATAGTTAAACATATACTACATTAAAAATAAAGCATTTTTAATATATATATTTATTTTTTTAAACCAACTTTTAAATATTGGTCGAGCAACACTAGATCTCCAGCACGCTTAAAGTGTAACAGCTGTCTTTATCTGGAAATTCCATAATTAAAACAGTGATGGCTAACACTGGTACCCCAGAGGTTTGTGAATAACATTTTCCATTAAGCTCAAACTAAAGGATGGATGGGGAATTAAGTTCACAGGCATCTAGGGTGCCAATATTAGCTATCACTGCCCTGGACACTGAATCTCAATTGAAACAATCAACGCAAGACTAGGCCACGGTTATGGTTAAAGTACTAAGTACATGTGCATGCCTTTGTACGTCACTTCACATATTTGTCTAGAATGAACTTTCTAAAGCCTGGAAAGATTTGACTACACGGACTGCATAATTTGGAGATGAGGATCAGATTAAAGTGCCAGTGTTTTTTAAAATTAAATCCTCTCTCTATTGTTCATTGTAGTAAATTAATTATTGTGTTTAAAACTTCTATGAACCTGACAAGCTTAAAAGAAAGGAGGGAAAAAAACAGAACAAGCACAATAAGTTGTTGTTAGTTAACATCTCTTAGAATTAACTTCTTAGTTTTATAGAAATTTATATTGCTGCAGCATTTAAAAAGATGAATGAAGAGAAAGCGCTACACATAATCAAGAGGAAACAAAATAAACATTGCAAATAAAAAAAAAAATAAGACAGCTCCCATAAAGTATGATCTATCTTGTATAAACATTACTAGGAGGAAAGAGTAGGGTATTAACCCCTTAAGGACACAACTTCTGGAATAAAAGGCAATCATGACAGAATATTTCCGTCTTGTGTCTTTAAGGGGTTAAGATGAATGGACACAGCCCTATATTGTTCTTGCAGGACATACTGGGTGGTTCTCTTGTTCAAAGCATGAAACCTCAGCACATAGCACTCTGTGTTTTGCTAAGAGGCCATAAAGGTTACTCACAGCCCCAAGAAAAAACCCATTAGTTAAACCTAATTAAAAGCCAATTTGCAAAGCACGCACTTCTCAAAATTAGCATTTTTAGTTTAAATGGTGACTATTCCAATTCATTATTTATTAAATAAACCCTAACATGTAGACTTCATTTAAATAAATGATAAGCAAACAACAAGAACACTCGAAGATTGATTGGTTTTTTGGGGATAACAGAGTACCCATCATTTACATTTCATAGACATGCTGATTTCAAGAGAAATCAACATTTTTATAAAGGAGACAGATTTTTCGACACACCACAAAGCTGAAAGTAATGAAAGCATAGTTTTCACATTACGGCGATTGAGCCCATGCTCCCTGCCTTCAAGTGCTTTTCTATCAGAAATATTCTATTGGCCGGAGGATCATCAGTAGTGATAATGTCTTGGTAGGTAGAGTGAAGTTGTTGTGAAGGACCGTCTCACCACTGGATTAGAGGGAAGTTGATGTTGGACTAGCGATAGCTAAAAAGGGACCAGGAGACTAACAACACTCCAGAATTCCAAATAAATGTATTCATAACACTGGAGTACTCCTTTAAAGGGAAACTATAGTGCTAGGAAAACAAAGTTGTTTTCTAGCACTATAGTGATCTACAGTACCCTCTCCCTCACAGACCCTCCCCTTTGGCGCTAGAAGGGTAAAAACCCTTCTGTCACTAACCTGATTCCAGCGCTGATGTTCATCACTGGGTCAGTCTCCGCCTCTGCCGACAGCCGCGGAGGGAACCTAATGTCCATATGCCTACCCCAGAGTAAAGCATTGCTCAATACTTTCCTATGGGGGTTTAGGTGCTGCTGGTTGTCCTCGTGCACAGCGTAAGGACGTCCAGCGTCAGTTAGGCAAACAAAAGTCACCTAACCACCTGGATATCCCTTTAGTGATTGTCTGGTAGAAGTGGAGTTAACCATGCAAGGTTTATCAATAACTGCATGAATTACAACTGCAGGGTTATGAGGACTGGGACAGAGCACCCAGACCATTTCAATTAGCTGAAGTGGTCTGGGTGCCTATAGTGTCCTTTTAGAAATTGTAAAATAAATTGTATAAAATAAAATTCCTTGTACAACTACTTTTAAAAGAGCACTCTAAGAACCATAAAAACTACCTCTCATTTTATTAAGAAATTCCTAACCAACAGACATCAGGGAACCATGTAGCCTGTAGCGATTATGCTGCTTCGAGTCTTCCTTTAACCCCTTAAGGACATGTCATGATTCCCTTTTATTCCAGACGTTTGGTCCTTAAGGGGTTAAAGGAAACTCCTGGTCACTTCTTAATCAGTTCTGCAATGTTTGCAGGCCTAGTCAAGTTAGCATATTTATTTGCTTAGTATAAGGCCACATCAGCTTCCACAAACGAAACGTCTTTATTTTAATTTGCGCAGTGCCATAGTAAATAAATGACTTCCAGTTATCATGCTTTTTTCCCCCTTTGGAATACTTGATTGTTTAAAGTCTCACAGTCATGGCATGTGTTGCTGACAACACATAATCACATGTTTTACAGTTGTGCGTGGTGGTATGCTCTGGCATACATTTTCAAACCTGATTTTCAACTCACTGTTTAGTTTTAAAAATGCAGAATTTGTTAAATAAAAGAAGTTAGAAATTATAAAATGTATCAGCATGCTGTGCACTTTATCTGTGTTCTACACCACTCGTATTTCTCTGCACTCTGAAAAATGTTCGTATTCAATCATGCAGCATGTTGTAGAAGAAAAAAGGGTTAGAAGAATTCTTGCCCACCCACATGCATGGTCTCATTAAAGGGACACTGTCGGCACTTTAACTGCTTCATCTCATTAAAGTGGTTATAATATCTGGAGACCCCTGGAGCTGTCCTTCCATTCAGCATTAAAAGGTTTTAATATTTTAAGGCGGCACTGTCACCCTCCTTGAAAAATGAGTCATAAAAGTAGAATCAATATGACTGTGCTGGAATTTCACTCTTATCTTAAGGGGATAAACCATGCTCGAATGGTTTAACCCCAAAGTGTTTCTCCAGTGCCGATCTCAATTTGCCCAAGTGGTAAAACTGGTACCTTTCAGTACGTTTACAATCAGCGGTGCCCCTGCCCGGCAGCACTTTGGGCTTTTTTAAACTGTGATTAAGAAGCCGAATGCCACCGGTGCAAGTTGAGATCGGTGTTGGAATCACACTTCGGTAGGAGTGCATATGGAGCTTCCTGGCACCATAACAACTTAATTTAGATTAAGTTATTTTGGTGACCGAAGTGTCCCTTTAACTATCAAATGAATACTACTGCCACAACCAAACCTTATTATTATTGTACACTCTCTATATCAACAGGCTGCATTTTAACACTAGGGTAAATTTATCAAGGCAAAACAGGTGCTACATGTTGAGAGACATCCAACTGGTTTCCAAGGTGACTGCCCCTTACTAAAGGACTTTGCCCCCAAATAGCAACTGTTTATGCCTTGATAAATTCCCCTTACAGGACTACTGGTTGCTTTCTCAACCTGTTGCTGGAGTACAACTTGCATGATTTGCCACCAGCCAAAACATGGCTCAGCATCATGAGACTTGTATTTCAGACCCTGTTACTAGCTGCATTTTATGGCTAATAGGAATCCTAGGGACATATTTACCATTATCTTCTCATCGACTGACCCACCTGACTGCTGTGCCAGAGCTGCAATCATGTCACACACCATGCCTATATCAGTATTACCCACACATTAACAAGAAAACAGCAGAATGTCATCTCAGGGCTGTCCAGAATGTAGAACCCCAAGCTGCTATAGGACTGCAATGCCCATGGTTCTCAGTGCTGACTGAGCATTGAAGGAGTTGTAGTCCTAGCACAGCTGAAGGCGGACCCCCTGTCCAGCCCTGGCCCCTGGCCCTGCAGGGGTTAATTAATAATGTCCCTGTGACAGAGAGCTCACTGACAGCTCAGTGCCACGTCCCATGGCAGCCCCACCTCCCCGGGGGCTATCTCACCGTCCGAGCAGCACTGCGCACACCGCCAGCAGCAGCAAAGCCAACAGCACTGCGGGCAGCAGGGACATCGTGTCCACCCGGGCCACCGACACCGGGAGAGCCACTGCTCCGGGAGACCATAGAGAGCCCTCCTCCGGGGGAGGGAGCGGCATGCGATCCCGGAAGTGAGTGAGAGCACAGAGCTGGCTAGGAGGACCAGCAGCAGCAGCATCATGGGAGAGCCAGGGCTGGGGATCTGGGGGACACTGAGAGACCCCAGGAGTGCTGTTTAGGGAGGGTTAGAGCAGGTGCAGGGGGGCAGTGGAGGAGGGCTGGGGTTTTGGTCTGTTTCCAACCTGTTGTGACTGTTTGACAATCACTACAGCTTAATGATAAACAGCTATCATAAAAAAAAAAAAAAAGGAAATAAATAAAAATCTATATCACTAAAAATGTAAATTAGAGCTCATTCGTGGAAGTACAATTAGGAAGGTAAGTACTTGTTGTTTTCTGGTGGCCTAGGCTGACCCCAACAAAACAAACATAATGGAAAAGGAAAAAAAAATTAAAAGTTTTATGTGAATTGTTTTACAGCTTGGAAAAGACAAGAGAGAGCCAAGAAATGTGAGTGGAAAAGCTTACTAACTATGTAAATAAGGAGCAGGCCTCAGCACAAATAAAATATATATGAAAATAACAGAGGAATGGGGTGGGAAAACCACTCACTAAAAGTAAGTGGAACCTACTTCACTCAAAAGAACCTCCTAAAGTTAAAATTTTATGATAGTGGTATAAATCTTTTATTAAGCCGAATATATAAATGATAAATGCAAACCCAACTTATGTGTAAAAGTAAAAAAATAAATAAATGAAAAAACAGTAATACACCTTTAAAAACCTGGGTCTGTCCTGAATACCACGATTATGTATTAGAGGGCCAAAATTACATACAATAACTATCCTTAAAAGGATTAGATGGAAATGTAGAGACCTCTTCAATACAGGTATAGTGGTTGTTCAGGTCTAGAGAGTATACAGGCCGTGTGAAGTAGAATACCACAGTTATGTACTAGAGGACCATAAGTACACACAGTTATTATTCTTAGGAGGATTAGTGAGAATGTAGATACCTCTAAAGTACAAATACAATATAAAAATATACAAGCTGTATAGGATGCGAGTGAGGAGAACAGGGTTGGTAGTTATATCAAACTTTGTATCAGATCAACTCAGTAAAAATGTAAGGAGCTGAACAAAGTAACAAAACAAAAAAAGGCAGAGGAAAATGGAAGAATCCAGACCCAAAGGCACTGTTGCTTAACGTAAATCATATATAGGTGATCTTCCTTCTAGCCATACCAATTTATACCAGGAAAGGGAGCTGTGATAGGCTGAAGAGAATATGCTGAGACTGTCAGCCAATCACAGATGCCCATTTCTGCTAACGCTAAGAATTTACCTCATTACCCAAAGCAACACAAAGCGGATATGCTGCTGGGGGCTCCCATTTAGCTCTAAAACATTAAAACAGCTGAATGAAAAAAGCACCTATAAGCAGTGGCGTACACACAATACATGGTGCCCTGGTGCGAAACTGATCCGTGGGCCCCCCGACACATACATACAGACACAGACATACATAGAGGCACAGATACATACAGACAGAAACACACTCATACACCCCCCGACACATACATACACATACAAACAGACACACACATACAGTCTGTATGTATGTGTCTGTATGATACAGACAATCCATCTTCATCGGGTGGCAAAAGATGGTGGCGGTCGCAGGGGTCCGCAGGGCAGTCGCAGCAGCGACCCCTGCGACTGTGGTATGCACGCCAGTGCCTATAAGGGACTACAGACACTATAACCACTTCATTGAGATGAAGCAGTTACAATGTTCCTTTAATAGCAGCAGCATGAACAGTTGTCCAGGACATGCAAACTACATTAAAAAAAGAAATAGGACATGCTTAAGAGCCATTCACAGTGTTTTGATTGAATAGATGAGTAAGGTAAAAGAATAGAACTGTCAATTTATTTATTTATTTTTGGAGGTGTGGAGGGTACTAAATTGATGATTTTTTGTTTTTATTTTGCTTTATTATTCTTGACTTTCTATAAATAAAGATTAATAAACATACAAAAAAAAAAAAGAAAACATAAACTGTGACCATTTCTTGATGCAGTGAAACTGAACAACAAGTCATGTTTTACCCTTGTTTGGGTCATTTTAACTGGACTGTTTTTGCGATGTTGTACATTTGCGACCAGGCATATTTTTATACTTTTGTGGTGTTTGTGTTTGGCTGTAATTTTCCGCTCTCTCATTTACTGTTCCCATACAAATTATATATTGTTTTTTTTATGGACAAAAGGGGCTTTCTTTACATACCATTATTTATATAATCTCTTGTATTTTAATTTTAAAAAACTAAAAAAATATGAATTTTTTTTAAAAATACATGTTTTTTTACTTTTACTTGAAAAATCTTTTACTCATCTACAAAAGCGAATTAAAAAAACTGCTAAATAGATTCCAAATTTTGTCCTGAGTTTAAAAATACCCAGTGTTTACGTGCTTTTTTGCTTTTTTTTGCACGTTATAGGGCTATAGGTACAAGTAGGATATTGCGGTTTCAAAACATACATTTTTAAAATTTATCAATAGTGACATTGTAACACTATTATCTGTCATAAATCTCTGAATAACACCCCACATGTGCCTATTTTTTTTTAAAGTAGACAACCCAGGGTATTCAATATGGGGTATGTCCAGTCTTTTTTAGTAGCCACTTAGTCGAAAACACTGGCCAAAGTAAGCATTCATATTTGTTTGTGTGTGAAAAAGTAAAAAAACTAAATTGAACGCTAATTTTGGCCAGTGTTTGTGACCAAGTGGTTTCTAAAAAAGACTGGACATACCCCATTTGCAATACCTTGGGTTGTCTTCTTTTGCAAATGGTATGCCATCATGGAGGTAATTCTCATTCCTGGGCTACCATACGCTCTCAAAGGCAACGTAACCAACCTGGCCATTTTCAATGTAAAAATATTTGACCCATATATTTGACCCATATATTTGACCCTGTAACTTTCAAAAATACTATAAAACCTGTACATAGGGGGTACTGTTTTACTTGGGAGACATCGCTGAACACAAATATTAGTGTTTAAAAACTGGAAAACTTATCACAACAATTATATCATCAGTAAAAGTGCTGTTTGTGTGTGAAAAATGCAAAAAAAGTCACTTTCACTGACAATATCATCGCTGTGATATGTTTTACTGTTTTGAATCACTAATATTTGTGTTCAGTGAAGTCTCCCGAGTAAAACAGTACCCCCCATTTAAAGGTTTTAGGGTGTCGTAGAACGTTACAGGGTAAAATACAGTGCTAGCAAATTAAATTCTCTGGACTTTCGGCCTGGGTTGGCAGGCAGGTCAATCAAATTGTAATCAATAAAATTACTTAATTAGGTAAAAATATTACATAAATACGCACATAGAATTTAAATATATATGCATATTTATATATTTGAAGTCTACGTGTATATTTATATAATTATTTATGTAATTTTGTATATGGACATATGTATATTTTGTATTATTTTGATTTATTTATATATACATAGATATATATACAAATTCATTCTAAGTGTATTTTGATATAAATATATATATATATTAATTTTAAAATACAGTTAGAATAAAATTTCATATAGATATATTTTTTTTAAAATTTTTATTTAAAAAAAATTAATTTAAATTACTTATTTATATTTTATAATAATATATATACAATATATATATTATATATATTATATATATATATACGTGTGTAATTTAATTATAAGAGTATTTTTATATTAATATAAGTACATATTAATATAAAAATACACTTAGTATGACATATATATGATATATAGACATATGTCGATACAATATATGTCTATATATCATATATGTATACACACATATAATTTATTTTATTTTTTATAAACACTTTTTTTTTTGATTTTACACTAGCAGGGAGACTGCCTGTCAGCACAGGCAGTCCCCCTGCAGGCAGACACATGGACACCTATTGTGACTGGGCACAGGGATCCTAATTCAGTGTGGGGAGACTGTCTGGGCTGCAGACAGTCTCCCCACACTGGGAGCCACGCTGATCGCCGCCGGGGGAATGACGGCGATCAGGTAAGTAACTAGGACCGTTAGGACGGTTCAGGACCGTCATCGGTCGGCAATGGGAAAATGCCGATGACGGTCCTGATAGTACCAAACCTGGGTCATGTTAATAATTGTAAAGTGTATGATAATTTGCATCACACATTGTTAATTACTAAAGTGAGAATTCAAAGTCAATTTCAAATTTAAAGTGTCTCTATCACCTCAAACTTCCCTTTATCCTAATGTTTCCTCTCTTTTTCTTATTTCTAATTTTGGATCTATTTCTTTTTAAAACATAAGACAGGGGGGTGGAGCTAGCAGCCGAGCCTGCAAGACGCATGAAACCCAAGCTCCGACATTACAGCGACAAACTAGCCACGGATCCCGTAAAATACACCTCCAAAAGCCGGGAAAAGGCTGCAAGAGACTTGACACAACATGGGGAAACACTCACGAAAACCCAGAGGGTCGTCCGCGGGACATACCCAGGACATCGGGCAACTCCTGTCCCAGGCCTGCAGGCCCAAAATGGCGGACGTCTTTCACACCATGGGGATGGAGTCACTCTCTGCCTCAGAGGATGAATACTTGAGTGATATGCCGACCCCGACACCCCAAAGGAAGCAACAAACAGCGCCACCAAGGCAGTCAGAACCGCCACTAGCCACTAAGGCTGACCTAACAGGCATGGTGACTGACCTAAAAGCATTCTTCACAGCTGAATTGGCAGGCCTCAAGACGGAGCTGAGCACACTTACAGGCCGCATGAGAGCCACGGAAGATGCAGTCCAGGACCTGAGAGTCCAACAAGATGCCACGACAAAGAAAACGCTCGAGCTCACGACCTCATGCTCCCAGCTAAACGCCCGAGTAGGGCAACTTGAAGATATGGCGCGACAGAGAAATGTCAAGGTGAGGGGGATACCAGACACTGTGACGGCAGATGAACTGCCATCCCTCATAAAGAGACTGTTACAAACCGCCCTGCCA